CAATAACCAGAAATGCCATCTGTGCTCGGTATGAAAAATATAAGATTGATAAATACCTGGCAACGTGACGCTCCTTAAATCACACTGAATTTCATCGTATTTACAAAAGTACAAATTACGATGTTGTGTATCTCAACCACTGTTGCTCAACAAGGGTGTCTGCGGAACATTCGTTATGGTGAAAAGGTTTTAGGATCACTGGATCTAGAGATTGGACTTTGGTAAGGCTTTTGATGCTGTTGTACTGGGGAGGCTAGGTAGAGCGAGGTGCTGCTAGGTGAAGGAATGTTTATCACACAGGACACAGTCTCCTGTGTGTTCAGTAAATAAAGCATGTTCAGAATGGGTGAACATGCTTAAGTGGCGTGGAACCTTTACTGTTCACCATGTTCATAAATAATTTAGATGACAAAACAAAAACAAAATTATGATAACTACACTAAAATATGAGCGGTAATAGAATGAGACAAAGATGCAGAAATGATTGAATGATGTAATTTTTATTTATGAGAAACGAATCTGAATTTTTTTACCAAACCACACACACTAGAAATTGAAGAGACGACGACGTTTCGGTCGTCAACTGTGAATCTGAATTTTGTGTAAACCTCTCAAATTATAATTGCACAATCTTTTCCTTCAATTTGCATAATTATAAATACTTACACATTAATGAATTAGGTTTATATATTTATTTCTACTATTTAATATTGGGACTACTGCTGTAATTACAACTACTGTTGCTTTTACTACTACTACTGTTAACTACAACTATTGTCGTTAAGCCTAACTTTGTTGTCATTACATCTACGCAGTGTTCTACCAATATGTGTGACCATTCCAAATGTAATGTTTTGAAATTTATGTCTACAAATGTAAATGTTATTTACACTCTTGCACACCTGTTCAGTGTAGCCAAAATTTTAACGATTTGTAAAACTTATTACGAGTAAAGCCTCTTATTTTATGGTTAGGCTCGTCGAGGCTTCTCTAGTGGAGGGTGAGGCTACCCGGAGACCAGTTATTGTATTTATGCTTGTCTAAGTCTTCGTCTCTTCCACTGGAAGAGGTAGAGGTTTCATGATTATAATCACGTATGTGATAATCATGTAAGAACGCTGTTACCTGCATTAATAAATTATTTTGGATGGAAGGTTGTAGCGTACTCAGTGACTGCTCCACGACCCCATCGACCCTTCGTTCACATCTCTTAATTTTTCAGTTATATTTATTACTTAACATTCTGCCTGCCTGACCTATATATATATATATCAGCAAGGTGTAGGCCTGAAAGAAACAGCAAGTAATTTCGATATTGATGTTCATGCCGAGGAAGGTTGACTAGGTGGCAATCCTTAATCGGTGTTCACCCAGGTTGTTAAATGATTTGGCAAGTCGTACTCCAGAGGAAATTTATGATTAAGGATCTGCCCGAAACGCTGTGTGTGCTGTTGGCTTTACAAGAATATTTAAATAAAATAAAATAAAATTGATGAGACAAAAACAAATTACTGCTAAACAATATAACAAGGAACCTAACGGCCGGGTGCCTTATTTGTTGCCCAAACCGATAAGGCACGACCACTACTGTGGGTGGTTATGTTAACATAACTGGTCCAGAAACACAATCCTGCTGTACATTTAACTAAGTTAGTATTACAACAATACTTCTAAACATTCAAGAAAAATTCGCTTTGAATTTGAAAGAATATTTGTTTTTGTATATTTAATATTTATTCTACTCCTCAAGTATTACGAAAATCGCATGACACGATGTTTGCCATTTGTGGAGCGTTGACTCTGTGACGGAGTGTATGATCTCACAGCTAGTCCATGATACCAGGAGACTGTTTCTTAGTATTTCCACCATCGCCCACTGGATCGGGGACACAGCCCATCCGCTGGATAAGGACGCAGCCTTTCCTCTCGAGCGTTCATCAAGTCACTAAACTGATGTACTGTACCCAGCCTAATCGAGAACCTACAAATTGAAAACAGGACATCAAGTCAATTTTTGCGAGCAATGAAAGTAGGCCTATTGCGACAACCAACTATTCCTATGAAGTCTGAAAGGTGGATTTGATTGCCCATAATGTATTTTCAACAAATATTTCAGCTGTTCATAATACACATACACACAAATAACTTTTTTCAGTGTCAGAGTAGTAAATGGAATGCACTAGTAAGTGATGTGGTGGAGGCTGACTCCATACAGTTTCAAATGTAGACATGATAGAGCTCGAGAATTTCATGAATCTGTACACTAGTAGAGTAACGGTTGAGAGGCGGGACCAAAGAGCCAAAGCTCAACCCTGCAAGCACAACTAGGTGAGTACAACTAAGCGAGTACACACAACATTGCCACTGTTTACGTTTTGTGTTTGCTGTGTGCGTATAAGGAATGTTGAGAGAGAACGGGAGAGAGGGAGAAAGGAGAGAGAAACAGATTGGGAGGGTGGGAGAATTTTGTTATGTAAGAGTGAGAGGAAGAAAGGAGCAGATTGGGAGGGTAATTGTGGTCGAGACTCGAATGGTGCATTTCGGGGAGACGGGGAGGATGTGTGTATGTGTATTAAGGGAACATGTAAGGGTGTGTGGGGAAGACCTGAGCACAGGGGTCAACCCGGGCACTATCAGGTACCCCATCAAGATTATTACTATACAATGAAGGCAAGTCTTTTGTTAATAAACAAATTATAAATTGTCAGCGAGACAATTTCCTGCTGCAGCTGTCAGTGAACAGCCCGTCACTCTTACTGAAAGCACTACATTTTTTACGCAATCGACCCCGGCGTAAAAACTGTTGTGGCTTAGGGAAATGAAAATTTTGTTGGTATTGACGCTTTTAGAGGCTATTGAGTACCGGCTACGGTTGGCTTGGTGGATGGCCTAGGTTTTGAGGCGTTTAGTTAGGCTAATTTCTATTTTTTACAAACGGGAATTCGACAGAATGGGCTGATGAGAATTTCTATATGTAGCTATCAGTGAGATAATTTCGTGATGTGGCTATCAGTGGGAGAATTTTGTTATGTAAGAGTGAGAGGAAGAGGAGGAGGAGGAGGAGGAGGAAGCAGAAGAGCGCGGCGTGACCTTGTAGAGTATGTGTACCACCAGCTGTTACCATCTCCCCACTGCTTATGCAACCCTCAGTGACTTGATTATTATGCAGACCCTCCCAGTGCTCAGGTAATTGGCTAATTGGTGCTCAGCCAGACCTGCTTCAAGTTTCAAGTTGGACGCATTGCATTATCGTACTACTACTGCGTGGTAGTATGATAATGCGTGCTTTATGATGAATTTCTTTCCTAAACTGCCTTGTGGTGCGCATCTGGTTGACCGTCACACGTAAAGCTACTAGCCTTCTTTGCTTATCTCTAACCCTTTAACTCAGAACATTTCTTTGAAAATTCAACGCTTACAAGGACCAACAGCTTCAAGCTTAACAAACCACAAAGTTGGAGAGAGAAAAACAGAAACTTTCTCATCCATACGGGTAATAAACTATGGAATCGCCTACCTGGCTTAGTCGTAAATTACAAGACATTATTCCTGTTTAGAATTCCGATGGAAAAAATCTCCAGGAATCATGATAAGGGAAGGTTACAAGCCACCAGCTTCGTGTCCCAGTCAAGGTCAGTAGAGATGGTGGCTCTCTGGTAAACTCGGGTATAACATCGGCCCATATCACCTTGCATAACTTTTGAAGCCAACTTGCTTTGTCTTGGAAGAGTTTAATATGACAGGGTCTGTTCTATTTTTGTATATATTAAAATATAAAATTCTGTATCGAAACAAATGGTGCACGCCATTTGAGCACGTTCTCTGAGCACTTCCTTCAGTAAATTACCTGCAGGACTGCTATACTCACGCGGGTGATCATTGTACACATTTGGCCGTGACAGTTGACCCCGTTCAACAACGCTCTCCTCAAATTACCGATATTGATTTCCGATGCTTGTTCACCCCATACTCATCCTGGGACTGGTAAACCAAAAGGGTTACAGAAGGGACGAAATGTCTGAATCAGACCTCGAGAAATATTTCACATTACCATTACCATTATCTCCTCTCTTTATGGACAATGTGACGGCTAGTAAGAAACAGTGTTCAGTATTTAAATATCACAGGATAACAGAGTTGTTTATTATTTTAGGCTTCCCGGTTCATACTTTCAACATGTATAAACATATTTCCTTTGTCTACAAGAAGCAAAATATAGATGCAGTGGTTAAATTTAGGGTATTTTATAATTTTTTTGCGAAGTGGCAAATTATTTGCCATTTCGTGCAGCGTACGTTTAACGTTCTCAAAATGTGTGAAGCGCGCTGCACCTCCGACACCACCACCACCACCTTTATTGTTTTAGATTCGGCTACGCGGAACATAAAGTTCCAAGTAGCACGGGCTATGGTGAGCCCGTAATGGACTTACCTGGCACAAGAGCGGGTCAGTAACTTGGACCACACAACAATTAACATATCAGCCCGTCCTCCTAAGGTGTCCCAACGTCAAGAAATTGTCTTACTAAAGTGCCTTTATCCTAACCTACCAGAGGACCCAAACAGAAAACGGGCCAGTATGTCAATTTCGCTAGCCGCTACCACAATTTTGAGTCTTTGGTAACATACGTCAAAATGCGACGTTCTATTAGGACGGGTTGAACATATTGCTTGTGACACACCGATGAGAAGGAAACTGGGCTTCCAGGATATCTCCTCAAAAGATTTATTAAGCAACAAAGTAGACACTGACAACTAAGTGTAATTTGTAAAAAATATAACCATTTTACGACAGTTGTAATTACAACACCTACACATTCAATCAACTTTGATGTAGCAATGAATTGATCTTGCCAGTTCCAGCACCGGTTTAGGGGTCTCAGTATTGAAATGGTATAATAAAACAGCTTTCCCTTTCTAGTTTTAGCATATTGCACCTTCCTTATTTTCTCTATAAACGTCCACGTTCTCTTGGTGAATTACATTTTTTCTTGCCTTTAGGAGACAGAGGTGGAAGCGAGCGACGACCCTCCAGCCTACGCGGACGCCATCAAGATGGAGATACCTCCTCCATCCTACTACATGGTTGTCACCGACGACTTGTACAATCCCTCCACCTCCTTCACCCCCATCGGCGCCGGCTTCTACTTACCAGAAACTCCGCTCTCCAAGCGCAAGGCTGCAGGCTTCCCATCTTCCAGTGATACCCCACGAATCAGTAGGTGGCTCGTCGGGGCATCCGCTAGTCCCGCCCTCGTCAGACCTGGCGCCGGTAGCCCCATGATAATTAGGTCCACCGGTAGCCCCATCGTCATTAGATCCTCCGGTAACCCTGTTTTAATCAGGTCGTTTGACAGCCCCGCTGTTGTGAGGTCGATGGGTGGCCGCATCACCGTCAGCCCACTAGTGAATTCGTCAATCAACAGGTCGCCAAGCAGTCCCGCACTGAATGTATGTGCTGGTGGTCCCTCTCTCTCCAAGTCTCCTAGCAGCCCCGCACTCAATAAATTATTTACTGGCTCTTCCCTGACGGTACATGCGAGTGGCCTCTCCACCAGGTCGCCAAGTAACCCAGCACTTAACAAGTTACTCGACAATTCACCGGGGACCAGTGGCCAGTGTGTCTACAAGATGCCTACCACCTTGTACCTCAGGAAATCTCCGAGCACTCCGGCACTTAGTAAGCTGTTGGCCAAATCACCTACAAGCCCAACTGTCAACGTGTCCTTTGGCTACCCACATGTTCAAAAGGCATCTGACAGCTTTTCTGTCAACATGTCACCCAGCAGTCCTTCTGTCAGCAGGTCTCCTGGTAGAACAATGGTCTTTGCTCCACACGGAAGACCCGTCTTCGGTAGGTCGATTAGCAGCTCAGCTGTTAGCATGCCATCTGACAGCCCCTTGATCAGCAGGTCACCGGGCAATCCCTCCAACAGGCCTCCGGGAAGCCCCTCCTCCAACAGTTCTTCTGGTCCTGTCTTCACTATGGCGTCACTTGGCAGCCCATATTTCAGCAGATCGCCTGGCAGACCTGTCATAAAGTCGCACAACAACCTCTCTCCCAGCAGCTCTCCGGTCAGGCCCTGTGTCACTAGGTCGCCTTCAAAATCCTTTGTCAAAAGGACTCATAGTAATCTATCTGTTAGTAGCTCCTCTTACAGTCCCTCATTGAGCAGATCGCCTGGCAGTCCGCACATCAGCAGATCGCCAGGCAGACCCACTGTCAGCAGAGTGCTTAGCAATCCCTGTGCCAGTAAGTCTCCTGTCAGCTCTTGTGTCAGTAGAGCATCACCTAGATCCTTTAACAGGTCGCTAAGTAATCCCCCTGTTAGTAATTTGCCTGATAGCCCCTGTATCAACAGGTCGCCTGGTAGCCCCTGTATCAGCACGTCGTCTGGTAGACCCCCTATGAGCAGATCGTCCAGCAGCTCCTCGGCCGTCAGTAATGACAGCAGAGCGCTTCGCCAGAGAGCCCATCGCGGCGAAGGCTCTGAAAGGGAGGGGCGAACAAGGGAGCAGAACACAGGTGTTGTGCTCAACCCGGCGGGTCTCAGCTTGCCTCAAGGCCGCAGTGACTCCACACCTACAAACATGACCGGCAACTTCATGGAACCACACGTGTTTTGGTACAACATGCAATTCTAACTACTAATCAACATTGGTACAGAAGCAAAATGAAGAAGCCCAAGTGCGGCGGTTGCGCTATACGACGAATTTCATGTTTTCTCAAAACAATGATATAACTTTGTTAACATGATGTGCTTAATTAAAACAGATTGGGCTGAAATTATTGCTAGAGTTTGTGACATTCAGATATCTATACTGTGTAGATACTGCTACTAAATAAGTTTATATTACAGCTAATAAATTTACACCAAACGCTTGATTCGAGAATCGTGTGGAGTGTTCCGCTATAGAGTGAACACTAATCTGACACCAACATGACGAACACCATAGCAATGTCGCACGCTGGCAACACACTGGTCGCTACCGCAGGAACAGAAGTAGAAGTAAACAAATGCTGGCGAACGTTCGCCGGGCGTTGCTACGCGACGTCACAGCCAGACGGCAGGCGGGACAGCTCGCTCAGGCCGGGCACCCGTCTTCCGCACAGCCTTCTAGTGATGGTCTTATGCTTTCAGTCATAAGACGCCGTCATAAGAGTCCATATGCCACGACTATTATAATACTAGTGTGTGAGCCCTTTGACCTTGCGCTCTGGTACTCGTGACGAACAGAGCGGCTCAATTGTCATACTACACACATCTATAGAAATGAATAACTTTATGCCGTAGTTTAACCAGGCATTATGAAGAGGTGGCTATAAAAGGAGAACCAACTGAGAGATCGCAAAGTCACCATTATCTCACACACAATACTTTTATGTCTGTAGCCATTACTGTCATCATTTGCCTGGAGGAAGGTCATAGACTTCAGAGATGGTTAATTTTGTTTCATTTACGAAGCAACAATCGAAGCTTATGTAACAGTATCCCATGACACGATCACTATCGTGTGTGTAATGAAACCATACACGAGGTAATCATGCACACTGTTGGGTATATATAATGTGAAGATGTAACCACGAAATTAGGACTCTGGGGAACCCCTGCCAGTAGTAGTGGAAACGTTACAATGTAGTGTAGATCAAGTCCCCTGTTCTTTAGCCGTGTACATGAACTTTACAATGGCATTTCATAAATGTGACCATGGAGTGATAACCCATAAAATAAGGTTCCCAGTGAATAGAAGGGAAAAAAAGGGGAGTTGGATAATAAATTACCTGACGAACAGGTCACAGTGAGCTACAGCAAATCAAACAAAATCTAGTCCGAGCACGGTAAAAAACAAAAAAATTAACTTAATACCTCAAGACACTGTTTTCACACTGCTACTTATTCTTACCATCATATCAAACTTAAACAAAAACACAAACCACACTTCGTGTCATGCTAAAACCAATCATAAAAAATGCTTCTGTAAAAGAAAAGAAACACTACAAATATCAAGGACTTCTAATGGCCAACGCAAAACAATCTGTTCAACAGTGATAAATTCCCGCTACATTGGAAAGGAAAATGTTAGAACTCAAACCGAGTTCAGGATACAAGACGCAGCTTGTCAACCAGAACGGAAAGAACACGCAAAAAAATTAGGTATAATGATGTCTGACGATCTAACATCTAGTAAATAAAGATGACAGCGTGGATATTACCACCTTCAAAACAAGGGCTGTCACCCCAGTGAGCTTACTTTCAAACAACTGGTGTAAACTCGTATTGAATATCTGTAATCGCCTTCCAGTTTAAAACAGGATAATTCTTATACACAACGTATACAAATATCCTATACTGTGTGCACAGATTCAGTAAAATACCTAAATTCTCTTAAACACTCAGAATGTCCTCTCTGCAATGGAGACAAAGAAATATATCGACAGTATACACATGACTGATACTAAGGTCGTCAGGTTTCTAATCTGTACAATAAAATAATAAAAAAATTGGAGCGAGTGATACGGTAAGAAGAGTACACTGGACTCAGCGAGGTGAACACACATACTTATCAGAGACCCACCACTACTCACCAGTCTGCAAGCAATAAATATTGCCGGAACAAAGAGTAAAGTCTTCCGGTTAGTAGAGTGTGCAGGATCAGCTGGGTTGTGGTGACCACGTAGCCAGGACAGCCTTTACATATATAATAACTTGAAACCGGCCGTAGGTACACCACAGCCAAAAATTAAATCAAATGTATAATTGTAAATATCAGATTCAGCAGTGTAATGAGGTTTATATATTCTTTTTTTGTTTATATACACATTATTAATCAATGTAAATCATTGTTATTACTTTTTAAATATTTTACAGATATTCTATTTTGTGTACATTCGCCTGTGTGTATGAAAGTATGTCTAATAATTTAAATTTAGTATTTTTGTTCCGCCAATGATGTAGGCCTAATTCACTTGTCACATACAGTCTGAAGATATTATATCAGCATTCGTGAGCCCCAGTCAACTTTCTAACCGGCTGTCTCGGCTCTTGAGGATACTCGCTGGTGAGGATACTCAGGATGGAGTATCCTCCAAGGCATTTTAACTACGGTGAGGAGGAGTGATTGTGATGCAGCGTCCGTCAAGGTGAGCAAGGCGAGCGCCAGTCGCCATGACACCCTCCCGGCTCACTCCTCTGGCGTTAACCTATAGAGGGGGGTAGAAATAGCCTAAGCTACTCTATCCCTTTGAGATATATTTCTTTCTTTCTTGTCTCAATAAACATACTTGAACTTAACCTACATGAACGCTTCTTCTTAATGGTGCTATTAATAATATTATCTAATTATTATCAATATTATTTATAATTTGTATTATTCTATACAGTATACAGATACAAAAATCTTATACAGTAGGCTGGCACCAGGAAAATAAATATGAACCACTATAAGGCGTTTCCATCATTCAGAAACTACTAATATTCCGACATTTGCTTATCTCTTAATTCCAGGTTTTTTCGCATTTTGTTTCTATCCAGGATTTTTTTTCCGGGCGACACTGCTGAGCGCAGTATTGCCTGTGGTTTGCGAAGTATAAATGTATTCGCTGGCACGCTGTTTTGTGATTATATAATACTGACTGGCGAATGGTCAGTTTAGCCACAAATACAGATTATAAAGCCGTATCATGTGCTTCCTGACTCGAAGGGTCATGTCAGCCGGGGCTCGAACCTGCGAAGCTCGTCTGTAGTGCTGTGACAAGAAATACAGTTACTAAAACTTTTTTTTTATTAACACATTTAGGTACATCTGCATTTGTGCAGGTACCCTAGATTATATGGCGTACAGTGCGTCAAAAAACTACGTGATGCTAAAAATCCCCTTTACCAGGACGGTTAGTCATAGAGGCATGTGATAAGTAGTCTGCACTGGCAAACTCTAGGTGCATTTTGATGATATCTTCAAGAACACGAGAGTGAATAAAGAAATTGCAAAGCTCCAGGTACCTCATGCCAACGGGTTTGAATGGTCTAATAACTGGGCATTCGGTGATGTAGTGTGCAAGATCATGTCCTAGTTCCTGCTCGCAGAGTTTGCAACTGGAGTGCTCAGGATTGGGAGATCCGTCACCTGTAGCCACCTGCCACACGTAACGGTAACCCAACCTGATCCTGGCAACCACTGTGTCGCAATCTAGTGGACGTTTTGTGCTGCCCATAGATATAGGTTTCAGATCTGAACAAATCATAGCTTTTTATACTGGTGCTTTCAGGTCGTCGGAAGTCAATAATTTCTCTCCTATCAGACCTGAATATTTGGTACAACAGCAAAAACTGTTTGGTTTTGACAACAGAGATGTGGACACCTAGGTCTAATTCAACTTCATCTTTGTTACACGCTAATTTGGCTGCAATGTCTGTCATTATGATAGGTTGTATTTATGTGTGATGGTATCCATATAAAGGAGATTCGAAACCCTTTACTCTGTGCAGGGCACAAGGCAGTGGGTCAAGCGTTGAAAGCTCCGTTACGTGAGTACTGCTAGGCAAGGTTCTGAACGTTCCATAACTTAATAACTGATATCTACACATGCTGATGAGGCTGTTATCTGTTATGCAAACAGTGACCGGCTACAAGCTCGCATTAACACACTTGCAACTGGAAACACCTAATGTTGTATTATTGTTTCCAGAGAAACAATTAGGGAACAATATGAGAAGAAACAATATGCTTAACAGTAACCACCAACCTCCCGGATCTGAACGCCAGTAATTATCATATCGAAAACTGCAGGTAATGCTAACATCTTTACGTGGGTATTACCAGTGAAACTGTGAGTGAACTACGTTGACCAGACCACACACTAGAAGGTGAAGGGACGACGACGTTTCGGTCCGTCCAGGACCATTCTCAAGTCGATTGTGAATGGTCCACAATCGACTTGAGAATGGTCCAGGATGGACCGAAACGTCGTCGTCCCTCCACCTTCTAGTGTGTGGTCTGGTCAACATACTTTAGCCACGTTATTGCGACGCATCGCCTGCATGTGAGTGAACTATATCTTGGGGCTCAAAGAAAGACTAAAACCTCTAAAATACTTACTGGTAATCACACTGGTATTAAGGTCAAATATGCCAGCATGGTCGATATGAATTTAATTATATCCCAATTAATTCCACCCAATTGGGTGGACGGTAGAGCAACGGTCTCGCTTCATAGAGGTCGGCGTAAATCCCCGACCGTCCAAGTGGCTGGGCACCATTCCTATCCCTCCGTCCCAACCTAAATCCGTGTCCTGAACCCCTTCCAAGTGCTATATAGCCGTAATGACTTGGCGCTTTCCCCCCCCCCTGATAGTTCCCTTTCCCTTCCCAATCTGACTACCACGCCCTACACCTTATAAATTTCATCAAAACTAGGTTAAATGCCTTAAAAACGATTACAAATGAAGCCATGAGGATATGTTTTGGTGCCCGCAGATATACACAAATCATCAACATGAAGACATCTGAAACTCTCCACCACATAAAGAATTGTGCACCTAAACACGACATTCTATTCCTAGATCAAGAGAGGTTCAATGTCACCAGCGCTGCTTAAGAGGAACTGTTTGGCGCAGTTGGCAGGCCAGTAAGTGCTGCCTGCGGACTAGAAGGCAATATACAAAACTGTAGAGTAGAAGGGCTACCAACCTCATCACATTGCTATTATATTCAATGTACCAGTTAATACTATTCCATTTTATCTGCACCCTGTAACACAAATGTCACACTTCCAATGTCACACTTCACAATGGCGCCTGACAGCTGAGTGGACAGTGCTTCGGATTCGTAGTCCTGAGGTTCCGAGTTCGATCCCCGGTGGAGGCGGAGACAAATGGGCAAAATGTTTCTTTTACCCTGATGCCCCTGTTACCTAGCAGTAAATAGGTACCTGGGAGTTAGACAGCTGCTACGGGCTGCTTCCTGGTGGGTGTGTAACAAAAAGGAGGCCCTGGTCGAGGACCGGGCCGCGGGGACGCTAAGCCCGAAATCATCTCAAGATAACCTTCCACCTGCAAAAAGATTACTGAAATCCTAATGGCTCTTTTCATTTGTAAACAGATCGCACTGCAGCAGCCTTTAAGATATAAAAACAAACCATGTACAGACTACTAGTGTAAGAGTAAACAATTAGCTAAGCTTCATACATACAGATCTAGCTGCACTACATTTAACCACTATTGTAATTGAAAAATACAAAAGTAATTTTCTGTGATTCAAAGCCAGCTCTTCAACTAATTGAAAACCTTGTATGTAAAACACATACAAAGAATATTGTAACATCAATTAGAAAACATATAATTGATACACAGAGAAAGTTTCAGAATCTCCTTTACATAGATACGATCTCACAGACTGGTAACAAACCCAAAATTTTACTAAACCTAGATATTCCAAACTCTATTGTCAAAACCACATTTCAATAAACTATTGGGCTGACAGAACAATAACTAACACTAAGAATAGATAGAACTTTTATAAAGAACAATGATATGTTTAGAAGAGACAAGGAGAACCTTGATAAGCCTAAAAGCTTCCTGTCCGAGACTACGGGAAACCAGAGTAAATCATACCAATTAATAAACTCGGAATTCTTCTAATACTAAATTATACATAAATTTAAACATCTTTCGCAAGAATTTAAAAAACAGCCGTTACTCCCAAATCATATATTTCTGCGTGCTGTAGTATATTAAGATTGCACCAAGAGTTGCAGGAGGGGGACGATGACCAGGAATTTGCAACTAATTAAAGGACGAAATTAACTATACAGTCTGCGTCAGTGAAAAATCATATCAGCTCCTCCGTCCGTCTCTGCCGGCTGCTGGTGCCTAATCACGCGGACCCTTAATTTTATACATATTTACAACAAATGGATATTCACGTTGGTCATTACCTCCCAAGCACTACACAGGCCAGTCGTGTATGAAGAACGTGACTACAGAACAAGGCTGGTGGTTGTCCATGCATGTAACATTCAATTATAACAATATTTTGTATGCACCAAGAACTCCGCCGACGTGTTCTCCAGCCATGATTGCTGGAACACGTCCCAACTCAAGCGGCTGCCAGATGAAGGGCGCCAGGAAGTATAAACATCCACTAGTTACATATTTATTACCTATAAACACTTTTTAGCTTTGTATAGCAATCAATTATATATATATATGCTTATTATATTCTCTCGTTAACCAAATCTTGCCTGTTAGTGTGCAACTGTGGTTACCTTAAAACCAGTCATAAATAGACACGTTGACACCTGCAGCTCTGAGCTCATTTTTCACCTACGTCAACGCAGCGGCACGGAATACGGAACAAATACTGTATTATGATGCCTGGCATGCAGGTGCGCTCCCCGTGGACAAGGAGCAAACCAGGCAATATATCTAGCAGGAAATGCCAAAAGCTGTAAGATCTGCGGAAGCTATTAATTGTGACCCCGTTCCCATAGTGATGTGTGTTTGTAATTACCTAAGTGTAGTTATAGGATGAACGCTACTTTCGTGGTGTCCCGTCTTCCCAGTACTCTTTGTCATATGACGCTGTGAAACTTCCGTTGATTTTGGCATCCACCGCCTTCACACTTAAAACTTTTCCCAAATTACTCTATTAAAAAAATCTACAACTTTGCTTCCTTAGCATGAGTCTATGACCTCTTGTTCTTGAAATAGCTGTTTTCAAGAATTACGTAAATTTTCTCGATTCCTGTTACTATTTTTTATGTGGTGATCATATCTCTTTCTTCTATCTTTCAGCGTTGGCAAATGTAACACCTTCTAGCCCCCTCATCGTAGCCTTTGTTTCTCAGTTCTGGAAGCCATTTAGTTGAACTTTGCACCTTTTCCAGTTGATGTGCTTCTTGAGATATGGGCACCATACAACTGCTGCATATTCCAATTTTGATCTCACAAAAATCGTGAACAATATCTTTGGTATTTCACTGGCCATGTATTTAAAAGCGATTCTAAAGTTTGAAAGTTGAGGATGGAAACTTCGCACAATGCAAACGAGGAGTCACAATAACGTGGCTGAAATATGTTGACCAAACCACACACTAGAAAGTGAGGAGACGACGACGTTTCGGTCCGTCCTGGACCATTCTCAAGTCACAATCGACTTCAGAATGGTCGTGAATGGTCAAATTTGTGAAAAACATAAATCGACAAATTAAACAACGCCAGATATTCTTGAAAAATTAATGTTTCATTCGTCAAAAAGACGAATTTCATGCAAACACAAGTCAAATCATTTAAGGACAGAACCTCTTCTAAGCCAACGAACATTGTTGTACACAAGGATTACGGGCTATTCATGCCCGTGCCACCTCTTGGGTGGCTTAATCTTCATCAATCAATGTATACACAAGTAGTCCTGAGTGCACCGACCTCGCCTCGCTCAGTTAATTCTGAAATTGTCTTTTTTTCAAAGCATGTGCATTAACTATCTTGATTATACTTTTTGATAATTTAGAAATACCTTATGCCAATTTTTACACGCAAAGCCTCCTTGTGTACCTTACCTTGAGGTGTTTTCGGGGCTCGGCGTCCCCGCGGCTCAGTCGTCGACCGAGTCTCCTATACAATACAGTACAATGAAAGCCTAACAGATGCTGTCCAACATATTTTGCAAACACATATACGAAACTTGCATTTTTACTAATCAAGCTGAGTATACTGTCAGCTGTCACAGCAACCAGTGTTGGTAAGTCAACCTCCCTCTAGACAATTCGATTACTAATGCCTTTCATAATTCATCCCTTCAAGTTCAAATACTGTACCTTTATTGAGACAATAAAATGCATCTCAAAAGGATAGGATAACTTTGGATATTTCTACCCTCCAATTCATCCCTTGTGATGTGTTCAAGTAACGTTACCAAGTTGACCAATTCTTCACATTTTAATGTTAATACTTATATATTTATTCATTATAGGTAGGGGGTTTAAAAAATAAACGCGGCGGCACTGCTTGCCAGCAAAATATTCTCGTGCGCCATGTGTTCACCACCATCCCTGGCCTATTTATTGTCTAACTGTAAATGTGCTTTACTAGCAATTTAAAATAACAATAGCAGCATTATGAATAACAGCTTTACAAATGTGTATATGAAAATGAACACACTGGATTTACACGTTAAATGTCCTTAGTACATTGAATTTACATGTTAAATGTCCTTAGTGCATTGAATTTACACGTCAAATGTCCTTAGTATATGGTATTTATATGTTAAACATCCCGAGTACATTATTCTTACGTCCGGCAGTTGCAAAAGGTGGCGTGTGTGTTTGGCATTGTTTAGTGACAATGGACAAATTTTCCCAACTCTCTCTCAAGTCCTTCAACAGACTTGCGTGTTAGCATCGCCACTCTTGTCTCAGGGGTATATGCACCCAGAGGTACTTCCCGCTTCTCGGCGTATGTATACTGAGAGTTTACTTTAGTCCAGGACATAGTCCAAGACTAGCGTGTTTTTGTTGGTCAGTAAGCGTTCGTGTATCCTTAATAACCCTCCTCCTGAGGTTGACAGATTCTTGTAAAGCCACTAGCTCGCATAGCGTTTCGGGCAGGGCCTTAAACTAACAGATAATTTTTATATAATTAACAGCAACATTGACAAAAACTGTTTACAGGTACTTTACAGCTTTACTTTACAGGTACAGATGATTTTAAGTAGAAAAATAAGTCTGCGATATGCAGTGCTTTACATAAACACACTTGTTTGGATCTAGTTCTTGCTATTGTTTACATCAAACCAGATATGTCAGGGTTCATCTCATCTAGACCTTTAAAATAATGAACAAGTTCAATAATATTAATCAAAACTTCTTTAAATGGTCAACTGTAACAATCTGCAACAGCTACAGTCTCAACAAACCACAAAATATAAACCAGGAGATGCTTCTCCCCCCACCCTCCATAGGGTTAAAAACCAATGAAACAGCTTACCCGTCGAAGCCGTAAATGACAAATCATTAATTTAAAAATCCTTCGAAACAAATAGAATTACATTTGACAAGCACCCGGCTTCCTGTCCCTGTCAAAGCCACTAGAGAGATAATGGCCCTCGTATAAATTAATTCAGGTATGGTAATTGTGTAATAATTCGAAGATTTAAATGCATTACAAGAAATGAGCATGTATTGGGGTGGGGGGTGTCTACGCAGATTTAGAGGAAGGCGTAAAAGGCACGAGATAACGCCGAGCAAGGAATCCATCCCGGTCTCTTCGAGTTGCAACTCCAAAAATGAAATGGTTTTACCTAACCAAGTGCCTAAGTCATCGACACTGACCTATGCCTAATTATAGAGAGAACTTTAATATAAAACAATAATACTATATAAATGAGAACAAACCTATGCATCAACACTGATGCATAGAACACGTCAATATTAAAATGCTTTGTTTTTTACTAAGTTCCAGTTCCATTTTTTACAGAGTGATCGAATCCATAAAATTTGCAACGTACTAGGTGAAAAGAGGCTGTGGCCATGTTGCTTCGCGAACATCCCCGCGTTCCTTCTGCATTCTCAACTCATCCCCTAAACCGTCCTCAGATTTAAGAAGTCTAAGTTGCAGCTGACATAAAGCTGTCCTTAGAGGTATAATTCGAACAGAGGATGTGAGCAAAGCACTGTTCAATAAAAAATTGAACGTCATCAGTAGAGAAGCAGCCCAGCGATGTGTGTAAAGCCGTCAGTCCTAAACAATAAAGGCCAAAAACTTGTTAATCCAGCATACAAACTCCTCATTTATAAATGAAAAAATATTTAAACACGACTTACAACGGATGCCGTTCGAACATTTCTCGAAGAGAGCTTCGTTGACGACCTCTGAATCGGAACGCTGTATATGCTGTTCACCCACGTACTTAAAATACAAATAATCACCAACAGATCCTAAACACCTAGCCTTACTTATGCTTAATTATAGAGAGCACCTTAATATAAAGTAATAATACTATATAAATGAGATCAAACCTATTTTTAACACCCAATACTTTAAAATTGATAAACGAGTCGTGGAATGTTGATGCAGCTGTACCGAGCCTGGCCAGAGGACGGGCTGGTGTAGTGTTGGGTACTGCACTTCTCGATGTATATATATATTACGAGTTGAACTATGTTCAGGCGTGAAACAGCTGCATTAACAGCACCACGCCTGTGCCAGGTAAGTCCATTACGGGCTCATCATAGCCTGTGCTACTTGCCTCGCTCCTGTGCCAGGTAAGTTACGGGCTCACCATAGCCCGTGCTACTTGAAACTTTTTCAGAGTAGCTGAATCTATAACAACAACATATGTTCAGGACTAAAATATTCCTGCTATGGGTGGTCAGTAAGCATCTGTGGTGGCCTTAACAACCCTCCAGTGGTTGATAGGCCTTAAACCCAACACTGAACCATACACACAGGACCAGACGCCTGGAGTAACGCGCATTTGACCAATGTTTCTGGAGTTTTAGACCAAGCGAAAAGATATATCAGAAAGGCTGAGGATAAAACAACGATAATAAAGGGTGCGTGTCTAAAATGAATCAATGTGTATCGACTGTTACAGTCTTAAAAGGATGTTTAATGAAGGGAACCTACTGGGCAGGATTGAATATATATGTTTCAAAACTCATTCACAGCCGGGGGTGTTAAAACATTAAATCTTACCTCTATAAGTTTAACGAGAGTATTAGGATACTCAAGGGCCTGGTTCGAGGTGGCCAATCTGCCAGGTAATGTGTACATTCCTGGTACAGAACAAGAGAACAATGAGGAGCAGAGTACACACCTTCCCACGCCGGCCATAACACTAACGACGACGTCTGCTGCAGCACCAATTAAATGGTTCTTAATTCTTGCTTCTGACAAATTTCCTTTATTTTAGTACACAGTATTAGGAAATGACATTGATATTTAGTAAAAAATAGAAATATTACTTATATATAGACAAGGGAAATTTTGCAAGTTAACTAATTGTCAATTTGTTTATGGTATGGAGTAATGTTAGGCTGCTGATATTGTTGTCATAGGGTTAGGGGCAGCTACAGCGCTGGGTATGTACCCTTTTTATACTGTACTCTGGTTTGAAAAGTATTTTAATTTTATTTATCTGTTAAAGACCTTAGGCCAGATATATATATTTGACAGTCTGCGGGAGACTTAAGTGTATACTGTCACGGCCAGATTCACTCAAGTACACCCACCTGGGCTGGACGGTAGAGCGACGGTCTCGCTTCATGCAAGGTTGGTGTTCAATCCCCGACCGTCCAAGTGGTTGGGCACCATTCCTTCCCCTCCCTCTCCCCATCCCATCCCAAGTCCTTATCCTGATCCCTTCCAAGTGCTATATATTCGTAATGGCTTTGTGCTGTCCCCTGATAATTTCCTTCCCTTGCGAATCTGTACATCTTTTCTCATTTTTTGGCGGCTTTCTTTGTATTTATTAAACATTTTATGAGCTCTGAAGTACTAGGAGGCTGTTTATAACAATAATAACATTTGATTAGGAAGATTCGCTGTTCGTAAATTGTTCAATAAATGCAAATAAAGCTGCCAAAGTTTGAGAAAAGATGTTTGTAAGTACTTGCCTAACTAACTGCTTGTTAAATCCTGGTCCAGTATTTCTCCCGTCTGCGCCATTATCTTGTTGGAATTAGATAAACCAACGAATTTAGATAATTTTATTGCATTAGAAAATTAAATATATATAAGCCATATTTACAAATTACGCATAATCCTACTCAATTAGTCTAAGTATATTTATTTAAACTACTTCACTATTATTGTAACTTGCTTACCTAAAAAAAGGCTTTGGGTTCCACTTCCAGGACCTAATGTACCTCTTAAAGTTTTGACTCCCACTAACAGACTGGGTTTAGGGTGCTCAATGATGAATTAAATTAAATTACATAGTACAGTTGGCTTCGTTTTCGACTCATAATCGGGGAAAAGGAGAGAGAGAAGGGAAAAGCGAGGGAGGAAGAGAGAGAGAGGAGGATAATAAAGAAGTAGGAGAGGGAAAAGAAGGAAGGAGGGAGAGAGGGAGTAAAGAGAGAGAGAGAGAGAGAGAGAGAAGGAAAGCCTAGCATGATCTCATCGTTACAAGCCGGTGGTGTGGCCAGAGTCCTCAAGTCAGCAGTCGTTGTGGCTGAAAGTCTGGTAGAAGCCGGCGCAGGTGGTGCAGCCGCTGGTGGAGTGGTAGTTGGGAAAGCCGTCGGTTAAGCTGGTCTTGTGCCATATGACAAGCGGGCCGTTGGTCACTGTCGTTAACGAAGGCTGAAAGTAATAAGACAACATGCTCCAAGAGCTAAAATAATCCAGGTTTATAAGGTACGTGGGGCGCTCTGTGATGTGAGAGAGGGAAGGTGGTATTCAACTAGCGATATGAGGAAAAAATGTGCCACAAAACTGTCAATTTCATTCTCAAATAAAGATAATTTATTGAAGAGAGAAAGATACATTATCTCTTTGCATCACTGACAGAGAGGAAAAAATAGTGATATGAACTCAGTGGGATTAAGCTCTACATACCAGTATGGTAGCGTAGGAGATTAATGATGCGACATTGGTATCAAGTTGACAGTACAGGGCTTCGACTCCCAGAAGACCGATGTTGCCAAAGTTGCCCAGTTCCCCTACGGGCAGGCGGTACAGGTCAGTAGGACATCTGATGAACGACGGTCCCGCCAGATTCAAAGTTGTCGTGCACTTGTTCTGTTGAGGAGACGAGAGGTCACTAGTGTGTGTGTGTGTACTCACCTAATTGTACTCACCTAATTGTGCTTGCGGGGGTTGAGCTCTGGCTCTTTGGTCCCGCCTCTCAACCGTCAATCAACTGGTGTACAGATTCCTGAGCCTATTGGGCTCTATCATATCTACATTTGAAACTGTGAATGGAGTCAGCCTCCACCACATCACTTCCTAATGCATTCCATTTGCTAACTACTCTGACACTGAAAAAGTTCTTTCTAACGTCTCTGTGGCTCATTTGGGTACTCAGCTTCCACCTGTGTCCCCTTGTTCGCGTCCCACCAGTGTTGAAAAGTTCATCCTTGTTTACCCGGTCGATTCCCCTGAGGATTTTGTAGGTTGTGATCATGTCCCCCCTTACTCTTCTGTCTTCCAGTGTCGTGAGGTGCATTTCCCGCAGCCTTTCCTCATAACTCATGCCTCTTAGTTCTGGGACTAGTCTAGTAGCATACCTTTGGACTTTTTCCAGCTTCGTCTTGTGCTGTGCTTGTGTGTGTGTGTGTGTGTGTGTGTGTGTGTGTGTGTGTGTGTGTGTGTGTGTGTGTGTGTGTGTGTGTGTGTGTGTGTGTGTGTGCTTGCCTGTCTACGGAGGAACGAGAAAAACTCTTGCGCCCTCCCTCATGGAAACTTTACCTCGTGCACTCATTCTAAAGCTCTACAATACTTTAATTCAATTTACGAATCGAGGTGGCTTTCACGACTTCTGCTTCATGCCCGTTAAATTTGTTTGCCTCCATTGCTGAATGCGATTTCCTTAGCTCTCTCCTGACTTATTCATGTTCCCAGTTTTTCACCTTTTCCCTTCGTTCTGCCTTACTTCATCTGGAAGACTCAATTAATTTCTCTAAGAATCCTGAATGTTGAGATTATAAACACTTTGGTTCTTCTTTATAATAGTGTGGTTAGAATGAGTTCTTTTAGCCTGTATTCACAGTTCAACTCCCTAATCTCATAACCAATTTCTGGACTAACTCAGTTTCCTTGTGTTTCACTATTGGGAGCCATCGTTGTGCACACAATTTATCTAGTTAAGCAACAATTACTCGAATTTTTGTTCCCGTTCTACTTGCCCTGTTGTTGCAATCCTCTCATGTGTCCTTGTAACTCTTTCCCTACCTTGAGCCACACCCTCCCTCTCTCACCCTGCCTGGCGCCACAGCCTGCCTCACCCTGCCTGGAGCCACAGCTTGCCTCACCTTCTCCTTCCTGAAGCAGATGCCATAGTCGAGCCCCGCTAGGTAGAAGCCGCCGTAATTAAAGCTCTGGATGACACCAGTGTTGCCGGTGAAGTATTGTCCGCACCCACACGGCACTGTACACGAGGACACAACACAACACTATAACACAAGGTTGGTGTTGAGGGTGTTCAACCAACCTCTCCTCCTACAAGGAACGTCGCTTTTCACTCGTATGCGTTACACAAGGCTAAAAAATGTGGTACTAGAACATGGAAGCGGCTCACGAAAGTGACGTACCGTCCCGTTTTTTGGGGGTTTTGGGTCCTCTGGTAAGTTAAGGGAGGACACTTTAAATTGACCGTTTTCTTGACTGGGAAGCCTTCGGAGGACGGGTTGATTCAACACGCAATATACAGCAGAGTTAAATTAATGGGCACCCAGCTGGAATAGTACGGGAGAGGGAGATTATGGGATGAGACCAGCTGGTATTGCAGGGAGAGATGGGGACTATGGATCACCAAGATAAAAACGAGTTGCACGATAATCAGCCAGTTACAGCCCCGCTCCTGTGCCAGGTAAGTCCACTACGGGCACACCATAGCCCGTGCTACTTGGAACTTTTTGTTCCCAGTAGTTGAATCTCTAACAACAACAATACTCAGCCGTCACTGTGGAAGGAGCAGAAAAAGGTTCTCTAGCATCCTATTGGTACTAGTTAGGTAAAGAGAGAAGGGTGTACTCACCCCTCTGGGCACACGGGATCATGGAGACCTTGATCTTGAACTTCCTGTTGAAGTTGGCGGAGGAGGTGGCGAAGTTGAAGACGGTGGGGTCGGCCTGGCCGGTCACGTCCAGATAGACTGTCCACACAGGGGTAAATTATTGACAGGGCCGTGCAGTGGGATCGAACCCGCACCCCCTGGACTTCCAAGACATGCTTAAACCAACTGCGCCATTATAATGCGAGTGGGGGGAGTCCAGGGATGCGGGATCGATACTGTTCAACGGCCTAAATATTTTTGTCATTGATATATTGCGATCTTTCAGCTTCAGACTTCTACAGTGATGACGCCCCCTCTCACCCACACACACACATGACGCCCCTCTCTCTCTCACCCACACACACATGACGCCCCTCTCACCCACACATGAACCACCTACAGTGCCACTGTGATGGCGCAGCGCCACAAAGGAAGGTGAACTTCTTCTCTCCCGGCACCGTAAACTGGTCCTCGGTGCACAGTCCTGCGGGGAGAGAGGAAACCAGTCTGAGTTACAGAGCATTACGGTGAGCAACGTCGCCACCACCACAACTACCACCATTATCACCACAACTATCACTATTACCAACACCACAACTCACCTAGCTGGTCCGGCGGGAAGCTGTAGAATTCGACGAAGTCAAGTCTGAGCTGACAGGTGTCAGGCATCCGGACGACTGTCATGGAACACGTGGCGGCCTGGTTGTACGTGCCGGGGTAGTCAGGGCTCACCAGGTACGTGCAGTTGGTCGACGTCGACCCCCCGCACGTGACCTCCTCTGCGGGCACGTAAGACTCCGTCACACTACGGGGGCACGTAACATGAGGCTACACGCTAATCGTAACATGAGGCTACACGCTATTATTAATATATTTTCCTGCGAATATGTCACAATAACGCAGCTGAAACAAATGACACAACTCACATATATAAAATAAAAAATTAAACTGGGGACGTTTCGGTCCATCCTGGAGTAGAATTCATCAAGCATTTACGAATTTCGAATTTACACAATATCAAGCAAGATGACAGTTACGTTAATAAGTGTGCATGAAAGGGTGCAATTCGTCTCCTACACTGTCCTCGATTACTGACGACAGATGGCATGCACAGCGTACGGTATCTTAGATAATTGTTGTAAGTCAAAACACAGTCTTGTAAACACACGTTGGACGCCTTAGTTACCCCTGGCATGGAAAACAACGAAGCCTCCAAGCAGCCTATCACACGAAGGTACATCACTGGTCAAAACATGCCGATTATACTCCACAAATATACTCACTGTAGCAGCATACCCCGAAGCCTCTAGCGCAGGAGCCCAGCTGGGTGCCTCTCACGGCCCTACACTCGGCGGCAGTGTAGCAGGTGCCACTGGTCGACCCCACAGAGCAAGGCCCGTTGAGGAACCTCACCACCGTGAAGATGGGTACTGCCGGATACACAGTGTGGCCTTGAGCGGGGAACTGAGGTTGGGCTTAAAAGATAGTTCTGGAGATGTTAACGAGTACATGAGGTGGGCAAACCATGAAAAATATAGTTGATAAAGGACGTGTAACTGTAAAACATATGATGGTGATATAGTTCAAGATTAACTGAACAAATATACTGTACAGTATGTCAGCCGCCCGCACCTTCCATGAGGGAGCTGGTTCTCAAGGCCTCGCCCTGTACTCACATATCTTTTCTTGGCGTGGGTGGAGGAAGGGATCGGCGGCAAGGGACACGTTACCAGCAGGACCTTGATGGTGCTGGAGTAGATACCCTTGATCCACCCACTGTGTGTTCTGGGGAGGACTCATCCCCTCGTCTGGGAGACCTGCTGATGAAGGAGGGGTCGGTTGGTCAGTTAGGTCGGATCTGACCAGTAAATGGATGGGTGATCACAAGGTTACAGTCTCGCTCTTTACTCAGGAAATTTGGGCAAGCCAGTTAAGAATGACCTGACCCAAACAAGGTGCGTCCCCATACCCTAGACTCCTGGAGGATTTAGTTGAATTTTAGGTTGCATTACTGTTGTAACATATCGCGGTTCAATGGTTTAGTTCGTGTGCTTGGAAGTACCCAGTGTGAAGGTTCGAATCCTTCTCATAGCTCCTATCGATTTTCTTATTGATACATCAAGCTAATATGATATCTTTGTGCGTCAGTAAAATAGGTGTGAGGTGATGAAAGGTAACGGCCGCTTGTGTGAGGGTGTTGTGTGAGGGTGTAGTGTCTTCTCCACATGTAGGCCTACCTTCACCGAGACCAGTTTTACCTAAGGTCCACTGTCTCTCTAGTGGCCACGACAGGACAGGAAGCAGGCAGCCTGGCAAAAGTTCCATCTCCTCTTTTTTGTAAATGATTTTATCCAGCGGGATTATGAACAACGGCACATTGTGGCTTCATGAGCTTGAAGATCTTGCTCCTTGCAGACCACCTTTTAAAGAAGTGATCTGGATAAATATCCTATAAACTGTTCAGTATTTTAAAAGTTTCGGTGAGATCAGCCCCTTGTCACGTTAGTTACGACAAATACATGTCATATGTCACAAGCCCTGCATTGTTACTCTCAGTAAAACTACATAACGGGAGACATTCAGTTCAACTTACTCATAAGTGGCTGTTATTTTGTTAGATTATAATACATTAGTATTAATCCCAAGGACCCATTGAAATTCTTCCATAAACCCCCGGTTGGGGACCTCTGGCCTACAAGGGTGGACCTCGATATAAATTTAAGTACTGTACCTCTCCACACTGAGCCTGGCATATCATACCCTCCCTACACTACACTGAGCCAGGCCTACCATGTCCTCCCTACACTGAGCCAGGCCTACCATATTTTATCTGCCTGGTGGTACTGGCTTCCTTTACACCGTGACAACATTTCGAATGTTGGGTAGGTCATTCTCCAACTGCATATTTGCCCACTAAATTTGTAGGTGTATAAATATATAGTAATATATTTCAGTAATAGAAAGAAGTAATTTTGATTATAATTCACCTGTGATGTTTGTTATGGTGGTACTGAGCATGGCCCGGGTCGGAGCCAGCAGCAGCAGCAAAGCCAAGCAGACGTCCAGCAGCCAGCTGGGAAGACGAGTTGCCCTCATCCTGCTTTCTATAGGTGGCTAAGGCAATAGTAGTATAATAGCGACCTTGTTAATATCTCTCAGCAGGACGCGAGAGCACTCGTCCCATCATGTCGGTGCTGGTCACTGCTGCATTACCGTATTATTAGTTAAGCTCAACACCCACCACGAGAGCTGAGGCCCCGGAGGAAGGCGAGCAAGACGACGCAGGTGGTGGAGGGAGCAGCGTGTCGCCGGGTACTCACGCAGCCAATCACTGAGGAGAAACACAAATATTCAGCCAGAAACTCGTGTTTTCAGTCATTAACACGAAGTCGTCGCCATTTCGACCTAGTCTAGTCCTGCATGACGTCACCAGATACGCGGACATTTACTGATAACAGTTCGTCCCCCAAACACTTGATCAGAAAGATGGTACAAGGTTGTCAGTAAAGTTTGGCCGTCGCAAGAGCCAGTGGTCTGAGAGTGCTCCGCCGGGCGACCGCCTGGAGGCGCTCTGAGAGGTACAGTCACCGCCAGTGACGGTCGTCACGGCCTCTTGAAGGTGCGCGTTTGTCTGTAATTACCAAGTGCAGTTACAGGACGAGGATTACGCTCGTGTGTGTGTTTGTGCCTGCTGGCTCAGGCTGTTAAACCCGCCGTTCTAACCATCGGTTGTTTATTGTACTAACTCCCGACTTATTTTCCTTCTATCATATCTACTACTCTCTCACATACACACACATCCCCAGGATGCAGCCCGTAGCAGCTGTCTGTTACTCCCTGTTATCAGTTTACTTCTAGGTTAGGAAAAGCATCAAGTAAAAGAGACTGTCCATTTGTTTCTGCCGTGGCCGGGAATGGAACCCGGGCTCTTAGATTTAGACCTACGATCCCCGATAGCTGCTCCCTTGGCCGCGAGTTTGTGTACGTAATTACCTACGAGTAATTACGTAGGTGTAGTTACAAGATGAGAACTACGCTCGGGTGTTCCGTCTCCTAGTACTCTTTGTCATATGACGCTTTGAAACTACTGACGGTTTTGGTCGGCACTTAACTTGTTCCAACCGTCTATCACTGTTTGCAAAAAAGAGAACTTTCTATTTTTTCGGCACCTTTATTTCCTTGGCTTGAATCTTTGATCTCTTCTTCTTGAAGTTGCAGGTTTCAGGAATCCCTCCGTCAATTTTGTCGATTATTACTATTTTGTATGTGGTAATAATATTGCCTTTCTTTCTTCTACTAGCTTTGTATCACACATTCTGGGGAATAACAGACAATCTTAGCAAAGCTCCCCGGAGTCCTGTCGGCTAGATATAGTTTCCAGCATAGACAAAAGGAGAATGTCTTTACGAAACTGTGTGATAACAAGTCTATCGAGCTTCAGCACAATGAAGCTTCCTAATCGTGGTAGACATTATGTTAACAATTTGGTTCGTGTTTGCATGCTGTTTAAGGCAGCCGTGTATGGTGGGTGCCCTCTTGGCTGGAAGACTAATGTTGCATAAACTACTGTATGCATTTTTATCCCGGCTAAGCTATCTCTTGATAATGACTTGCCAGTGATGTAGACATGTCCTGCATAGTGCGCAAAACAAGTTGCAGAGCTTTGGTATGGGTAGCTGGGTAAGTGATGTGTATGTGTGTACACCATACCCGAGCATTTCTTGCTCTGTTAAGTGATTGTCTTTAAACATTTTATTCTACTAATTCAATTTTTCTTTCATTTCAATGGGTGAAATGATACCTGATACCCTCATATGGAGCAATAGTTACACTTGATATACCACCAATAGTTATAGACGAATAACTACGTTTATAATACGTCAAACTCCACGATTGGAGTTTGCACAGGCGTGAACTGTACCAGGGTAGCCATCTCTCAGTTCTCCCCACACCCCTCACTACCACCACCAGTTGAGAGGCGGGACGAAAGAGCCGAAGCTCAACCCCCGCAAGCACAACTCGGTGAATACCAGGGGGTCGCTATGTAATTATACACAGCTACCGTTAAGTGTTCCCCTTGCCTCGCCGGTAATGTGTAGCGGACGGCTATATGCAGGAAGCTCGCGTCTCACAGTCAACCTGCCCCACATGTGGACACTACACCTGTGGGCTTATATTGCCAGGGATCTTCTGTACGTCACGCTCTACGCAATTCTCTTATGTATGTTACACTGTTGTATCTGGCTATATAGGTCTTGACAATGTGTATATAATTGGCGCTTGGCTTCTGAGTGACGATACGCCGCCACCATAACATGACCATTATTGTCACCACCTTCAACACCACTATTGTCACCACCTTCAACGCCACTATTGTCACCACCTTCAACACCAACTGGATAAAATGGCGGTTATCTCTACTGACTTCCCATATAGGTCGTAATTTCTCTCCATGTGTACACACCCGTCACCCACATTGTGGAGAAAAAGAAATTGAGGTTATTTTGCTCTGTGGTCAATGTAGCTGTTGGTGCAGATGCACTCGCTCGCGCTCTCTCTTGTCCAACCACTTGGGCTGGACGGTAGAGCGACGGTCTTGGTTCATGCAGATCGACGCTCAATCCCCGACCATCCAAGTGGTTGTTGGGCACCATTCCTTCCCTTCGTTCCATCCCTAATCCTCATCTTGACCCCTTCCCAGTGCTATATAGTCGTACCGTAATAGCTTGGCGCTTTCTCCTGATAGTTTTCTTCCCCCTGTGTGTACTCGCCTAATTGTGCTTGCTGGGATTGAGCTTCGGCTTTTGATCCCTCCTTGCAACTGTCAATCCACACCCACGTTTATCATCCCTGAAGTCTAACCTTGGATAGGATTCCTTTTTTGTTCTTCCACATTTCTTCAGTTAAACATCTGAACAGGGATACAAGTGAGACTTCAAAGCACCTTTACTTTCCGAATTGCACATGGATCCAGTTTGAAAATTTGAACTAGAAGCAGTCGAAACACAACTGTTGCCACTTTCACCGTTATAATTATCAGTCTCCTGTACGTTATTCTTCTTACAATCCTCATTTTGTTTACAAAAGAAGGAAGTCAACATTGTTTGCTTAGAAGCCATGATGGGGTTGTTTGTGAGAAAAAATGCTTTTTGTATTAGAGACAAATCCATGGACTACCAGCCACCGTGAAACACAGAAGCAGAGTTGCCAACTCAGTGTGTCACATGGCACTAGAACCTCCCCAAAAAGCACTCTAAGGTGACATGAGTCACCTCAGAGCTCTAGTTGATTTACTCATTGATATATATCACATTAGTGTAATTTCTGTGTACCTGATGTTGGAGCGCACAATGGATGAACTATGTTGTCTACACCACCCGGGTGCTTGGGGGTCATAAGTAAAACTTGGACTGGCTTCAGGAGCATGGTGCTACATAGTCTCCCAGCTTAGCACTTTTTGAATAATTACTTACTTCATTGTAAAATATTCAAAGTATTATACAATGTCATTTGTGTTCTTTGATCAAGTAGATAATTAAACAAAAATTTACAAAAATATTTACAGTTAAAGATGCATACCTATAGAAAATTTAAAGATATTACTGTAGTCATATTTATCATTTAAATTATCTACTTATTTAATTTTTCAGCATGTGAGGTATAAGACAAGGGCAACACTACTAGTGTGCTGTGCTCAGGCCACAGAGCACCAGTGAGGTGGTAGTAAATGGAAAAGTAAAACGAAAATTGAGGAAGAATTTTTTTGTTTGACAAGATGCCAGCAACAAAGCAGTACAGGTTTTGTATAGTAAGTTAGTATTAATTATATTTTGGAGGAGTGAAAACCATCAGTAAAATTAAAATACTGTAATCATATATGGATCTATCTTTGAAATAGACTTTTCCCTTTTTTTTGTATGCCTTCTCAAATTACATAAGCTCTTGTGTTATATTCAGTATTTTCCCTCATATTGGTACATCACCAAGTCCCTCATATCGGTACATCACACCCCATCACCGGACAATATAATTATAATAAAAGTGCAGTAGTCAATCAGACATTTGCTAAATAACTGACTATGAAAAGAATAATCACATTCTGTTTATTCATCTTTCAAGAATGATACTGAATACATGGTAGAATTCTGCACATCATTTATTCATGTAACACACTGCTATTTTTTTAACAAAAAAAGAAAACAAAAGTAGCTCATAACTGTACAAATATGATACAGTATTTTATGTCTCCGAACCTATGCTCTGGACTAACATGAAGTGACCTGGATCTGGATTCATCAAGCAGTTAAGACAAGTACTTATGAATTTGTACATCTTTTCTCAAGCTTTGGCAGCATTGTTTACATTTATTAAACAGTTTATGGACATTGTAACGTCCCAATCAAAATTTTTGTTATAAACAGCCTTCTAGTATTTTGGAGCTCATTCACTGTTTAATAAATGTAAACAAAGCTGCCAAAGATTGAGAAAAGATGTACAGGTTTGTAAGTACTTGTGTAACTGCCTAATGAAGCCAGATGTGTGTCCTTTGTATGCTATACCCCAAACCTGTCTACCTAAAAAGACGAGAATGTGCATAGGCATCATTTGACTGAAACAAACATAAAAAAATACAACTACAGCATAAGCAACATGGTTTTGTGACCTGGAATAGACATAATGAATCTTCTTGCCATTAATACATAATATGGAGACCGAATGTACCAATTATACTGTTTGTGCACCCTGTACCAACACATATTCAAGAACAAAACTGTGAAAGAAAAAGAAAATAAACTTGGCAGGAGAATATCTAATGTAGACATATTAACCTAGCCAGCACATTGAAATTAAATCTGTAATGCTAGTCAGTTACAAACCCCCACCTAACTAAAAAAAAACAGCATCAGTCGTTGCAGTGGAATAGTGGTATTTTGTGCCAGGCATGCAAATGAAACGGGCAGACAAGACATCTGGGGTGAACTGACCAGCCATAATAGGTGGTGCACTAATTGTGAAATAACTTGCACATTATTTCACAATGAGTAAAAAAACCTTTTTCACTTATTTCTATCTTTTATCAAGATACATTATACAGTTTATTTTCCCTTGGCTGTACCATAGGCTTTTTACCGAGCTATAAATTTATCTCTGATCGCCACACTCCTTGCCGCTAAGAGCACACCAGATTCTAGTCCTAGTGATTCTAGCCCGAGCCAGAGGATCAAAACAGAAAAAGGTACAGTACGTCACTTTTGTGAGCCGATCTAATTTTGAGTTAAATATATTTAGCCCGAGTGCGCATACGAGCAAAAAGTGACGTAATTTGTAAGAGGACAGGTTGAACACTGAATGACAAGTTATATTTATACATTCACATACATTCATTAGTGTAGTTTAACTCTCAGAAGTAATTTACAATTATTCTGCTACATGCAATGTAGTTCATAATGAAATAATTAGATATGTTAAATTGTTAATTATCTTTGCTTCTGTCATATATGCTTCAGTTTGCCTCAAATTCATGTGTCTGAACACAGTGACTAGTGTCAAAAGATACCCAAAATTGGTGTTTAGCCGGGTCAGCCTGGCACCCCCTTACTTACTGTATTTCATGTGCAGTCCACCTATTAAATCTTTAGTCATTACATATGCAGGAATACCAAACATATTATTCATCCTTTATTTCAGTGGGGAGACTTACACCATCCGTTCTGCAGGCCCGGATTGTACCTGGATGGCATTCTGAGAGTTGTTCCACTTCTCAAGCCCGGCCACAGGCCAGGCTTGAATTGCGAGAGCTTGGTCAAACAAGCTGTTGCTTGGAGCGGCCCACATATCCACCACAGCCCAGTTGATGTCATTATTGTAGTGCTTTTAATTTCATTAAAATGGTAATTTTTATGCTGTGGTTGATAATTGTGTACAGTGAGTAGAGATCTGGGTCGTGGGTAATTTGCACACGAACAGTAACAGACTCGTGGAGTGATATTTGTGATGCATCAAGTGTGAGGAAAATATTAAAAACTTTATATTTGCATAGCAAGATTTTAATATAGTAAAGCATTCTACTGCCCCCTTCTTTTATGATTACACTTAAAGGTCCAGATGTGTGAAGTTCTCTGAGCAAAGTGTTAAGTGTTGATTGCCTAAATAGAATTTATTCTCATGGCTGAGCGCTAAGAATAATTTTCTTAATTATACCTGACTGATCTCATGTTCTTTAGTAATCACTCATAATTTGCAATGTTGGATTAATATTTACATTATGCTTTGTATATTTTAATAAAATATATATTTTTCATTCTGTACCGCAACTGATTACCTGTGATTAATGCTACCACCACCGAGGGTTTGAAATTTCCATAACGGACACTTCTTGTCAAGTAGCAGTGTGGATGCTAATAACATCTTATCCCAGGGGCATGAGAACTGTGCTCTGTAATATTCAAAACATTCTCACTAAGCTTTACACTCTACAATGAGATACGCTTCAGTAGCAATCCAGATTTTCAAATTTGTAATGTTCTTACTAGAGTATATTACATGTGTTGCACTTTTTATTTTTAATAAAAATAATCTATCTATAAGTAAGATAGGGTTACCTTCAAGCCTCATTTTGGATTTTGTGCAGAGAGATACAACCAGGATCTTCAGATTATAAACATAGCCAAGACAGCAGGTAAACATTTATTGATATCAACTACTGGGTATATCAGTCAAAATACATCAGACCTTTAAAAACTAAAATGTTTGTATTTTAATTGAATGTTTTCACTAACTTTGAACAGTACAATCATATAAAAAAAGTCAAACATTACTCATCTATAATATCTCAATGTCTGTAGAAGTATTATCACGTACAGGCTTGAGTAATGTTATCCAGCTTTATAAAACTGATATGAAACAGAAGTGGATTGTGATGGGGTTAACCTGTTATTGACATGGTTGTACAGTATACAGATAATGTAGGGTGTTTTTGCCAAGAGCAAGAAAAAAATTGTAAGTTGCAACTGACTTTGATAGCTTGTGCAAGAGAAGAATGTTGAAGGCAAGTGTAATAAATATTATGGTGTTTGAGAAGGGAATGGGATGATGTAGATTTTGTAGAATGGCAACAACAAATTTAAATTACAGCATAAAAATGGGGACATATATAGCAAGTTTTAAATGCTTGTTAACTATATTAGAAATCAGAGTATGGAAGGTTAAATAAGACAGTAATAGGTGGAATTTTTTTTTTTTGAATGAATAGTATAATGAATGTTAGTATGGGAGTTAAGAAAGGGCTATGAAATAGTACAGCACTACTAAAAGTCCCGACATATGGGGTGAAACTTCAGTAAGGAAAGTGGGGGGGGGGGCAGTGCTCAAGACTACAAGCAGTTGAAAGGAGTTTTTCAGAAAAGCAACTGGAGTAAATATGCAGGAATACAGCAGTATAGAATATGAAAGAATATAAAAAAGGACTGAAATGTGGAGAAGGGCAAAACACAATATTTTTATGATGTGGTATCTATATGTTAGTAGGATACCTGAGAAATGTTTAATGAATTAAGGGAATTGTATAATAGAGGCAGACTACCAGTACTGCAGCTTGGAAGAGGAGAGTTCAACAATGTATGAAAGAAAGGATGGGGGTGATAAAGGAATAGGAAGAAACTGCATATGCCAACACACTTCAGCAACCAGGAAACTTTCTGAAAGCTATTATTTAAAAAAGTGCAGTCATTTGTTGGTACAATCTTTTTAAACACAAAATAATTAATATTGGAGTTTACTATATAATTTACCAACTGAAGTATAAATCTTGAAAGACAAATGACAGGAAAAAAAAATTTTGGTACTACATTATAGAACATGAATGTAGACATTTTATCAATAAAATTATCTAAAGGAGGATAAACCTTGGATAATATTAAATAAATTCGATATTCACTAGTCTTCGTAATTTCTAAAACATTTTTGTTTAAATGTTAATAAAAAAGTAATATAAAAACATCTCTGTTCCTTACTTTTCATGTACTTGCATTTTTAGGAGGCATCACTTTAGCAACTTTTCTTCGTTCTGTTCGACACTTGCACTTCATTGTGGTCCACGAGGCAGGGACCAGTGGATGACCCTCCTCACAATAGGACGTTACTACCCCCAACTCTGTACCCGCGGTAGAGAGTTCATAGTTACGCAGATCACCAAGTGAGAGAACAACTGCCAAAATAATGTCATCTGGACGAAAACAATTGTACATCTCCACCTGAAAAGATAAATATTGCAAGTTATAATCCACTAGTTAAGTTATATCATTGTTCTGAAAAGAGCTATCATAGTTGTTTGCAAACTATCTTAATATACGGTACTATACTGTACTATTAATGAGAGTTTTAGTTAATATCCAAGTAACTTTTATCAATACAATTAAAATAGGAACTACAGTATTATTTATCTTAATTTATAGTCATGACCAACAATAAGAACAAACCTTTTCTAATAAAAAAATAATTTTAAAGCAGTAGTAAATCTTAAGAAAATGAAAGATTATTTTTGAGTAGTGACAAGTATTCATTATTTTCATTCATATAAATTTATCCTACAGTTACCATTTCTGAAGCCAAGCCAGCTACAAAATTTGTCTACAAATGACAATTATTTGTTATTGTTTATTGAAAACAAAATATAAATTTTATGACAGAGATGGGGGTAATCATTTAATGGGCTAAGGTATCAAAATCAAGTTTAATGACCTCAACAAACGGTTTCAGATCTTTAGGCCAGAACCAGAGAGGAGACAGGGTATAGCAAACAACATATGGATGCTGCAACATCAAAATAACAAAATGAAGTAAGGAGGTAAAAGATGAAGTTAAACATATTGAAGTTGGCACAATAATGCCAGACAAATCACCACTGCTACTAAAGAGACTGCAGGGACACTATATAACCCAGGATCTATGTAACTAGGATCTATAATACAGCTCAAGTGAAAGAGCTCCAGATATTTGGAAAACTGTAAATAACTGTAACACTAACCCTCCCTCTCGGTCACCTCCCCTCTCTCCCAAGATTATGCTTGGTTGAAGATAAACATTAAAATTTTTAAACTCACAGTGTCAATTTGATGGTCCCTAACATTTTGTTTCTTAACAGTGCCAGAAACAGGGGAATGCAACTTGTTAGGACCGACACAGATGATAGATACAGTAGCCTGGTTTGGGTTTACACTCAAAACACGGCAGGTTACAACACTACCAGCTTCTGGCATCACTGTACCTTGTCGTCCCAAGGTAACCTGAAAAGTATATAACCAATGTAAGGAAATTTTTTTCCAAATGATAAGTAGTGTCACATCAAGAATGAAAAAGGCAAATGTTACCTTTACTATTTCAACATGACAAAGGTTAGCCTATATGCTTGAAAGCGGCAACAACTTAACTTTATCAGTCATAAAAAAAAAAAAAAAAAGTTTGTTCTCATGCCAAGATTTGAAAATTATTATTACAGCTATTACCAATGGTTACTTCATTATTGAAGATAAGTAATAAAGTTGGGAATATGTTTACAGTATTTATGATAAGGGTTAGAAACTTTTAAGAATTTCAGTACACTTAAAAAAAATTAAACAGTACAGTACCTTAACAACTTGGTTAACATAACCACAACTAGGCTCCACAACTTCTTGTGGAACAACTGTGACATGCCCTGCTAGAGAGGCATAGATGTATTTGTTAAAAGTATATGTTCCTTCACCGGCAATGAGTTTTTCACTAGCCTCACAGATTCTCTGTCCTGGCACACAAACAATGTGCCCGTTACTAGACTTCATGTTGGTACAGTACGCAGATGACCTGGAAATTCAGAGTTTTACTGTTTGATGACAAAAAAAATAGCTATATTTTATTCTATGCAAGTAATATTTATAAACAAGGTATAATGTAACAATTCACAGTAAGTAATTTTCTATGCACTGAAAGTGCTTAACTCATTATTTATATATGGGGCACTCCACCTGCAAGTTTCCTGTCTGGATTTAATTTAATTTATGTTAACCTACTATTACTTTGATATAGCTGTGCTCTAATCCACCCAAGACATCTCTGCCCAATACAATGCATCTCTACCTTTGTGACAAGTCTTGCGAGACACACAATACAAAAGGTTTTCCTAAACTCAAGGTACACAATGAATCTACCGAACCCCTACGTGGTGCAGGCAGGAGCTGTGGTACAGCCGAGGGTGCAGGCAGGAGCTGTGGTACAGCCGAGGGTGCAGGCAGGAGCAGTGGTACAGTCGAGGAGTACCTACAACTAGAAGCAACGCGTGGAAACTTCTGCTACTATGTTGACCTAACAACCTGCCTAAACTATATTTCTGTCCGTACCGCTACAGGTCTAAAAATTATAAATCTCAGTTAAACTAATTTTTATTGTGGAAAATGGCAACTTAAATATTAGTTACTATATATTTTAACTAAGTAGCAAGTACTTATATAATGTTTGTTACTTTTTTTATTAACTGGCTTAGGTACTGTATACACAGCAATGTGCTGCTACCCTATTCTATATGAAAGATTACACAATGTAGATACAGTAAAAATCTAGCTATAAGTTCAGCTAATATTTCCATCTCACAGAATGGTTGGTCATACATGGAATCAGGAATGAAAATACCAGCCTCAATACAAAAACAAATCAACTCTGACTAGAGAGAGAACATAAAATGTAAGGCTGACCTATAAGCCTCCTTTAGCAAAAATCTAGGTACAGCACAAGAATATTTTCCAATATTCCTGAGTGTATGAAGTAATTACAGAACTCAAAGTACCTCAGACCATTTGGTCTGAAGTCTCTTATCTACACTGCGTCACTTGATCTACACTGTGTAATATTTCATATAGAATAGGGTAGCAGCACATTGCTGGGTATACTTAATTTTGCTAGTAAAAAAGTACAAGATACAGTGTGAGTTTGAAGTACAAGGTAGGAAACTATGAGGATGAAATTAGGTACTTTTTGGTTTTACTTTTGCACAGGGTATGAGTTGGACTTCCATGTTATACCAGCGGATTATTAGGTATGTCGGCAAGACGCCTCAGGGCTTGGGAATATTGGGGTCCTTTTATAACAAATTGGCGACTTTAAAGCTTCTACTAGTGACACAGCAATGAAACAAATACAATATACCAAACTGGGGATGAACATTCATATAGTTGATGACAAAGAGTTTATTATTATGACTAGTTTATCCTACACCGCAAATTGATATAATCGTAAATATGAACATTAATAAACTGTTTATTAAAAACAGTTTAAAAGTGAGAAGAGCATCAGTTTAATTTATCCAGGAGGGTCGCCGCCAGACCGCGCGAGGGTCGCCGCCAGGCAGCGTGAGTGAGGGTCCGCCACCAGACCCTAGTCGCCCTTCCTCACACATGTTGTGGCTGACAGACGTTGGGTCGCCAGGCGTGTATTTTTACATATTTATATAATTGTTTTACAATTAATCTGCACAGAACACACGCGAAGAAGACCCGGGGACACTGATGTGGAGGGCTCTTGGTGCTATAGTTGACTATAGAGGCTAGAACAGGCGCCGCGAGCCTACCAAAATGCCTCGCCACAAAGCTGTAAGTGTTGAGCCTATAGGCCACTCTTTTCAGTTCACTAGTATACAGGTTCTCGAGCCTATTGGGATCTTGTCATATTTACACGTTTGGAACTGTGTAGGGAGTCTGCCTCTACCTCTTCACTATGTAGTGTATTCCATTTGTTCAGTACATACTATGGTACAGAAAGATCATAAGGGCTGCTCATTTTAGTACAGCTTCATCTGTACTATAATGGTCGGCTCATTGTAGCTTCATTTGTATTCCTAATGTCTTGTCTGGCCAGTCCCTCAGAATTTTGCATGTTGTAATCATGTCTACCTTTACTCTTCTATCTTGTAGTGACCTGAGGGGTTTAATTCCTTTAGGCTTCCTCATTCCTCTAGGATGAGGCAATTGGTCACCAATATCAAGTATCAGTATCAAGAACATAATTTGCATATTTTTATTAGGGCCTAGTAGTATTGGTAATTTTGAGCTACTTACAAATAATGTCTCATTAATGTACACTGGTGTTTTCCTACACAGGGTAAGTTGTCTCGGCGCAATCGTGTTCAAGCCAGGGCCAAGCAAACACAGGAAACAAAACGTTCTCAGTGCTTTGTCATTAATCGAGGAAATGTTGGAAAAGTTACGAAGAAACTCACACAGGATTTCCGGAGAGTGATGGAACCAAATACAGCCACCAAGCTCAAAGTGAGTGGAAATACGTTTAGTAAGAGATTCCCATGTAAAATTAAGAAAATCATTTAATGTGTTCTTTACTGTTTTATTTCCTTGACCTGTAATGCCTACTGGACAGTGAAGCACACATGTGCTTCACTATTATGATGAATGGTTAAGATGTCCATTAAGTTTTGTGAAGATTCATTCATATTTGTTTGATTAGTTGTTCAGAGGCATTAAAAAGTATGTATCAATGTAACCATGCTTAGATGAAATGATTAGGGTTGGGCCTATTCCATTCACTATTTTTTTGCTAATTAAATTATTTGTACACTATTCTATTTAGTAGTATGCAGTTAAAAAGCATACTGTTAAAGTATGCTTTTTAATTAGAATTAAATCCAAAGTCGTATGCAATTAAAAAGCAAATTGTCAAAGCACATTGTCAGGACATTGCCAAGGCCACCAAACAAGTCTCTCACAAATTCAACATACCACAATTTTAGTAATGTATCGGTAAAAAAGGTTCTTTGTAAAAAGAGCATTTTTCTTAGTGCAGTATTAACCCCTGCGCACCTGTTTTTGGCAAAACTTCATAGTGCAATTGTTAAGGACATATTTTTTGTTTTTATAAATGTTCAGGTAAAGTTAATGTCAAAATGTTTCCAAACACAACCATTTTCATTTCAAAACAGTGATGAAAACATTAAAAAAAAATTAAAATATAGCCTAATTAAAAAAATAGGACAACTCTCAGAACGAGATTTCTTGGTTGGCGCAACATATTGTTTAAGGTCAGAAGAAAAGTTACAACATTGAAAAATCTGAAATATAAGTAGAAACTATAATGGGGTCCACCATTTGGTGGACCCATTGACCCAAACTAATTTGTCAATTAGTTTAATTCTTTCTGTTTTTTTAAGGGTTCTCGGTCACTATTTATAATTAATTTGAGCAAGGTTATACTGTATATATTATTGTGTAGTAAGGACAGTATTTCACTATTACAGTAGGTCACTTTCCCCTACTCCTTCAGTCTCCTTAGAAAAGTGCCTGAAAGGTGTTTTTCAGTATTGTATTTAGTAGCCTAGTTAGTATTGCAAACACAGATGGATTATTTTAAATACATGGGAACTGTTTTAAAGTTTCATGGCAGGAAGTGCAAAATGTTTTCTAATGTTTTATATATGACTTTATTTGTTGCCTTTAATGTTTCATATATATAAATATTTATTTTTCCAGCAAACAAAGAACAATGCCATCAAGGACTTCATAGCAATATCAGCACAGTTGAATGTAACTCACTTGGTTGTATTCTCTCAGACAAGTGTTGGCTTGTACTTGAAATTGTGCAGATTAGCCCATGGGCCAACACTAACTTTTAAGTGAGTACTTCATTTTTCCTTGTACACTTTTATCTCCATGCCAGAATGTTTGAAATTTTGATTTTCATGTTGTGTGTGCTATTTCTGTTAATATCATATTTTTGTGTGTAACATTTCAGGCATTTTCTGTACAGTAATTTCATTACAGAGGAGCATTAAAATCCTGCACATTGTAAATTGTACGGTAGAAAGATGGATAGTTGAAAATAAAACTTTAAAGTACAAAATTTAAAGCAAAAGGATTTTGTATTTGAAAGAAATGACCTAATTAAAGGATAAACATATATTACACCCTGAATTCAACGGACTATATGGGACCAACCCCAATTCGTTGCAGTGAGGGACTCATTGTAACTGGAGATGTTTCCAGGATGTATTTCCCATGCCTTATGGGCTGATTTCACTTAGCAAATTTCCCACGCTCTAGCCTTGAAATTTTATTTTCAAAGTAAAAAGGGACCATATTAGTGAATAAAAGCTGGGAAATCTCAAAATTAAAATGAGCCATAGAATTTGGTTTTAAATGAGCTCAGTGGCTTTCCCAAGGCCCCTTACTATCTATTATAATGTGTCCATCTACAAAATTAATTAATAATGTGATTGGAGGGATATTATTATTTTCCCCCTATCACATCCTAAATCCTTATCCTGATTCTTTCCAAGTGCTATATAGTCATAATGGCTTGGCGCTTTCCCCGATAATTCCCTCCCTCAAGAAAAAATTCCTCAAAGCGCTCAAATTTTTTTTTTCAAAACTCTCAAAAAAAATCTAACTGCCGAACCAGAGATTTGCCAAATTGAGGTGTGTTGAATCTAGGTTCCTGTATTATCATATTATTCTGCCACTCCATATCATTCATATTTAATAAGAAAGCTGGTCCTGGATTTAATTTCTCACACTCTGCTTCCTTATCAATATAAAAAATTTAATTAAACGTTTGTTTTTTCAGAATAATTAACTTTGCCAGAAGCAAAGATGTTTTGTCATCGTTAAAGAAGCAAAATGTATTCAGTGGGCAGTATCTAGTGGGGCCATGCTTGATGACCAATTTACAGCCTCAAGAAGGTGACCTCCATCTTCAGCTCTCTGCTAGAATGTTTCTAGACATGTTCCCGACCATTACACCAAATCAGGTATTGTTAATGATGACACGTCAATGTGATGCAGTGATGGTATCTATGTGAATCTGTGTTATTTTGCAACAGTGATGTAAACAAAGTTTTGTTACAAGTCAGTCCTTTTGACAATAAAAAACTATTTGCAATTTTGTTATTTTCGCTAAATTTGTTATTTTTGCTAAATTTGTGGGTTCATCTGTACATTAGATATCTTGTATTTTATTGTGTACTCTTGCTCAAATGGACAGCTTCTGAAACATACGAAGTTCTTTGCATTGGAAGTTTATTTTTTCCAGACATCTTTATGATTTTTTATTACTGCAGATTAGAGAACCTGCATTTGTGCATACAGTACTGTAGTTTAACAAAGTCTCTTGGAAATTGTATATATTTTTAAGTGTTGATTAGTTTTTTATATTGAACTCTGTTCCAGTGAATAAAGTAAATGGACCTTTTCCACTGGAAGTCTTCCGTTTCATTCTGTTGGAACCGCACAATTGTTGTACCTGTGCTACTCTAGGCTAATTAGCAAAAGTTTTTCTTTAGTAGTAATCAGTTGAATCCAGTCTTACCAAAAATGGTAATTTGGAAGCAATTTAGCATTCTGTGCTCAGTCATGTGTTTTGCAGTCACATGAGGCTCAGTGTTATTTTTAGGCAATGTCCCTATTCACTTACATATTAACCTATTGACAGCTGCTGGATCTACGACTTTTATAGCTTCACTGCCTATTACTACCTCAGTCATCCACCCTATCGGTTAAGGTGCTTTATATATATATATGCTTTAAAAGGGCTCTTATGAAAAATGGTGACTGGTGTTTTGATATGCGAGGTAAATGATGGGGAAGATTAGACTGTGGTTAATGGTACACCTTTGTCAGTATGAAAAGGTAAACTATTAAGTAATTGTTTACTGGGTAAAGTTTTATTTAGGTTATAAATTTCTATTCAGATTAAGGAGTCTGACTTTGAAGGATTAGGGGGGGTTGAGATGTATCAAATGCTTGTGAAAGCTGATGAAGTGGACTTTAAGAATGTTGAAGGCTTTGGCATGTTCACAGAGGAAATGTTTACTTAGTTTAATTCTGGGAATGTGCTGGTGGTACATTTTTTTAAATGTAATATATTGCTTAATGATTGATAATATTTATTCAAATATATCTGCCTTTTTCCAGTTAAATTTTTGCTTGAAGTTATATATAAAATGACAATTTGCTTAATGTCAAATTAATTTCTTAAATTTAATCTTCTATCTAAGGTTAAAACAGAGTCCATTCGGAGATGCTGCCTAATCCATTACGACTTTGAAGAAGGGCTGTTTGATTTCAGGCACTATTCTATTAAGGTCGTGCCGATCGGCATTTCGAAAGCTGTAAAGAAAATGAATAAAAGAAAATTACCTGACCTGAGCAACTTCAGTGATGTATCAGAATTTATGACCAAGTAAGTTTGTAAATTATCATACGGAAAAGGGTTGGTATTCCAGTATGCACAGCTACTTAACCAGTACCTTAATACTGTACTTCACTGAGAAAAAAATAAGTGCATTTAAGATTGTAAAGATATTTACTTGTTAAAATTTGTATAGATGAAACCACTTAGATTCAGAAAGAAATTGGAATTGGGAAAACATCTCTGTTCAGTTACACATTTAACATTTATTTTTAAATACAGTACTGCCCTTTAGTCATTAACTTTGTATGGAATTATTATAAATATACTGTACTATTTTATAAAAAAACGTAACAAAAAATAGATGATCACAGTATTGTAGTGTTTGTTTTCTCAATTCTCTGGCATTTAACTGATCATATTAATATCCAAACAGGTCTGGATTACTTTCTGAGAGTGAAGCTGAAGATGACCCTTCTGCACATGTAACTGTCGATGTCAAGGTTGCCCCCAAAAAATTAGGGCGACAACAATCTTCAGTAAGGTTATCAGAACTTGGCCCAAGATTATCTCTCAAGGTTAGTACCTCACTACTTAAGGTAGAAGAAAGTCACACGTGAACATTTATTTGAATTTCATCTTGGGGAAAAAAATAAACAAGGCTTGAAAGCAAATGTATGTTTATATTATTATCTTTTGCAGCTTTTGAAAATTGAGGAAGGTCTTCTAGAAGGGAAAACTTTGTACAACAGCACTATTGTGAAAACTCCTGAAGAAATACTTGAACTAGAAAAGAAAAAGAAGAGAAATAAGTAAGTTGAATGAAGTTACCAATATTAAGGTAATACAAAAGATTTGCTAAAAGACAATTATCAATTACTACATTTTGCTGTAAATGTTAATTAGTGGTAATGTAAAAAATACTATAAGAAGTTAACTATTAAATTTGAGTCTAATGTAGTGTTAAATACAATAAATTAAATAAATAAATCTGATTCCCAGTTTCTTGGGAAGGGAAGGGAAGGTATCAGCCCACAAAAATATAAAGATATAATGTAGTGATAAAAGGTAAGTAGATACAGTATTAAGTCTTTCCCTGCCTTTAGTATTTGATATATTAGTAAACATTAGAGTTGAATCACCCCTGGTAGCACAACAGTTGGAGGTTAGGCCTAAGTGACTCAAGAGCCTCTTGTATATTTTTATTTGTTTCTTCCACATCACCTGATTGTTTATCACTATTGTGTCGAGAGAGGAGGGGGGAGATCATCTATCTATTTTGCTGCTTCAAATTTTTAACTACTGGGTACTTCCTATTTGCACACATTATTTTATAGGCAAGCAGGTGATTATTCCTTCACTTGTACAATACTGTAGTCTAGAGCACAAATATCTCGTGACAAATTCAAACAATTGTGTGGCACCAGATGCTGTCAGTGAATAACCTAGGCTCCCCCTTTTCCCCCATGCACACCCACATGCCAGCGAGTCCTGGAGGGCACTTGCCTCACAACTTTATCACACCTTTTAATTTGGACTGCTTGTCTTGCCAGTTTATTGCACCTTTTTTATTCGGACAAATGACAAATATCAAGAATATCCAGGTAAGCACTGGTAGTGTCCAGAAAGCACATGGTCTTCTATTTGGATTTTATTCATCAAAACATGCTTTGTTTTGTTTTGAATTCACAGTCCCCATGGTGTAGTGGTAAGACACTCGCCTGGTATTTCGCAAGTGCTTTGTCCTGGGCTCGTATTCTGGCCGGTAAGGATTTACTGGGCGTCAGTCCTTAGCTGTAGCCTCTGTTTACCCAACAGTAAAATGGGTACCTGGTTGTTAAACGATTTGGCTGATCGTATTGCGTGGAACATAGGATTAAGGATTTGTCTGAAACACTATGCATGCTAGGGGCTGTACAAGAATGTAAGAACTACTGTATTGTATATATAAATAATTAAAATCAATAAATAAATCTTGCATGCAGACAAATCATCCATCTGCATACTGAACTTGTGTACAGCAAGTCCAATGTATTTTCGAATGGATGGTTAAGATTTTCAATAAGATTGATTTGTAAGTTTTGTAAGATCCATAATTTACTGTACTGTAGATAGAATGCCTTTGCCTATCAGCTTTGAAAGTTTCATCTCTGGTATGGTGGTATAAGGAAGGTCCATATTATTATTATTTGGATCCGAAGGGCCATGGTAACATATTTTAGACTAATTTTGACACATTGTGTCAACACCTTGAATGATAATTTTAAAATGCACAACTACAACAAATATCATATGCAAATATTGAGATGCCAATGGTTATTTCCAGATCTCGCATTTGCAAACAATATCATATGAGGTTTTGCTCTAAAGTTAATTATGCATTTGTTGTTATCTCAGAAATGGTTAAAAATGTCCTTTACTATATCCAGTGCATTGTTCATATTTGATTCCCATTTTCTCTCGCACCATGTCCATCCATCTTCCTAACCTTCCCGTACCCTCGAATTTCCTAGAATATACTCTTAATAAGAGTCTTGTTTTTATTAATTTACAATTGTTTTCAGGCAACTGAAATTGAAACGAAAACAGGATCAGGAAATGCATGTTGAAGCAAAGAAGAAGAAAAAGGAAGAACATAAGAAAATATGTCTAGATGGCATGGGTATCAACAAGAAAGAAAAAGATAATGTAGAAAAAGTTGGAGATGATGCTGGTTGGGAAGATGTTCCAGATGATGATGCTCAATATTACAGAGATGAAGTTGGTGAAGAGCCTGATGCAGGTGAGAATAACATGCACTTTAAATGTTTTCACTTCATTAGTGACACACATAAATCCCTCAATCAGTTTTTGTACATCTTATTTAGAATTTCTACCCTCTAGATCCTTACAGCTACTTTTGTGGGTCTTTGGTGAATTCATAGTGTAAATATTTTAAGGCTCATTCTTATTTGGGATATTTATTAATAATTATTGTTGTTACATATAATTTTAGCGCTGTCATTGTATCATGGTACTGTATGTACCATGATACAATGTCGAAAAAAAGAAGTAACAAGTGTTAAAAAATCTTCAGACAAATGGCTAACCATGTTCATTGTATCATGCCATAATAACTCTTCCCCCCCATCCTTTTTTTGTTGTTGTCTAATGTGCTAATGTTGAGCACTGTTGAGTATTCTTGTGTGAAGAAAAACTAAGACCATTGAGATAAGCCTTGTTTACTGTACAGTATTAGATATTAGAAAGCCACTACAGTACTTGGATATATTTAGGACAAATTATAACTTATTAAATGTATTAAATCATCTTCAGTTTGTAAATAATTGGACAGGAAATATAACACAAGATTGAATGTAATTCTAAAATATCCATCCTCTGTCTTGCAGACCTCTTCAGTAAACAAAGAGCAACAAAGAGGAAAATGGGAGGTGGTGGACCTTTTAAAAAGAAGTTCAAGAGTAGCACCAAGACTGAGAAGTTGAAAGCCTCAGTGGACTCTGATGGACTAAGAAAGAACAAGAGCAAAGATGTCAAGAAAATCGGCATGAAAACCAAATTAAATAAAGAAAAGTTGAAGGGAAGGAAAAAACCACACGGGAAGAAGCTTGGCAAAAACAAGCACAAGAAAAATCGTTAAAATTTGGTTTCAGAAAGTAGGGATTTTATTGTACATTTCAAATTATGGAAAATAAACATCTTTTGCATTTATGAGTTTTATAAAAAAAATTATCTTAGACATATATAAACCAATTTTATTCAGAAAAGTGGAAATTTAGAATTTTAAATTATATTTTCTAGTCAGTACAGTAATTTTTTTTTTTAATTTGTTTAAGAACATTACTCTTTACAAAAAATTAATATCAGGATCCTTTTTTCATTTTCTCATTCTTTTATTCATCATTACAGTTCCCCACTATTTCCTTTCCATTTCCCACTATAATTCCATTACTTTGTATCATTCTCATCATGAATAAACTAGTGCCACTATACTTGGTAGTCATCCACAGCCACACCTTATCACTTCATAAGGCAAGGTGTACAGTGATCCTAATGAATTATCATTTGTATTTCATATATGCAGTACAAATATATACCTGGCCTGACAGCCGAGTGGACAGCGCTTCAGATTCATAGTCCAGAGGTTTCTGGGTTCGATTCCCGGAAACAGTTTCTTTCACCCTGATGCCCCTGTTACCTAGCAGTAAATAGGTACCTGGGATTTAGACAGCTGCTTCCTGGGGGTGTGTAACATAAAGGAGGCCTGGTCGAGGACTGGGCCGCAGGGACACTAAGCCCCAAAATCATCTCAAAATAACCTTATAATAACCCTCATTACAAATCGCTTCCATCCACTGGGACTGGTCAGTGCAATGGTGCAGATGTCCAAGGTCCAAGTGGTTGGGCACTTCACTACATTTGCATATTCCTTCCAAGTGCTATATAATTGTACTGGGGTATTGCTTTATCTTGATACAATTATCTGCCTCGTCCTTTACCATGTTTTGTGTTCACTACCTCTAATTTACACAGCTCACAACCTCGCCTCTTGTCCCAGCTTTCCTTCTCTTGCACTTGGATTCATTTGAATATAATACCCAAATTCATTAAAAAGAAGCAATGATTGAATTAATTGAATAAATAATATGTAAGATGTTTTTAATTTGTATACCTAGATTTTTACACATTGTATACTATCTAAATGTTTGATTTATCTCAGATAATAAGATTTATCTGTGATTTTCTGATTTTTGTAGCAAAAGCGTGCACAATATCTTCAATTTTTCCACCAGCAATTTAAATTAGTGTAGGAAGAGTTCATCCCAAGTATGTTTTCTCTCAAGATTTTTCCATCATGCATTAACATTGGAGTTTTTACTTTCATTATACAGTAATCCCTTCTTATTGTTCATGCAGTCCATCCTCAGACCAAATCTATTACCATGATAAACCACATTTCCCCCCCACCTTTTCAAGCCACATGGATAGTTATCTATATATTTGTGATTGAAAGCATATTACAGTTTCAGCAACATTCTACATGTAAACTGGCAAATGAACCTTTGACGTAAACATGTTATTCTCAAGTAATAACTTTAATGTAATATAACTTGCTGGGTTTAAAAAAAAGTATTGTATACTTAAATTTCTTTCAAGAATTTGGTTTTGTGTAAATGGAATTTGTAGGCACACTAAAACATTTTCAAATTCCACATGTCTCATTGTCAATAATATATATTAACGTAACCGAACACAATGAAACTTAACCTAAAGTAACCTTAACTTGACCTAACCTAATCGTGGATGGAGATACACTATAGCACAAATTATGTAATTGTTCCCAATACATTCCCTTGAGGGGATCTCTCTTAAGGACTGGTTGCTTCCTCTCTTGTCACCACTCATCCTACAGTCATGAAACGCCTGTTCCTTGAAACAACAAAAAGTTCTGCCCTCGCTCGCAGTCACCCAGTTCATAGATAAGTCTAATTCTGCAGACGATGTAGGCTACACCATCGTCTTTCCTGACCAAACTTATATGTACCACCTCCCGGCTGAATTTTATGCATTTCATCAACTGCTTTCCCGACGTCAACTTTTCTTTGCCATTGAGGTTGACTTCGACAGTGCCTTCGAGTCATTTAACCCTATGTATCCTTTGGTAGTCGAAATTCAACATTGGCTATGATTATTTATTTATTTATTTATTTATATACAAGAAGGTACATTGGGGGTTAAGAGAGAACATAGAAATGAAGTTGATTTTACATTCTTGTAAAGCCACTAGCACGCATAGCGTTTCCGGCAAGATTGTACAGTAGGAGTACAGTACAGTAGTACTCCTACATGTACAGTAGGAGTGCACTACTGCCCCAGGATGGGTACAGGGGTACACGACCGCCCACAGGATGAGTACAGGGGTACACGACCGCCCACGCGATGAGTATGGGGTGCATAATAAATTAACTAAACTGTCTCTGAAGCACTGTTGGTTGCCAGTTTATGTTTATAGTATTGATGCTTGAGCATTATTATCCGTCGGTTATTAATTGTTTTCCGGCATTGTTTACTGATCCTGGTAAATACTTTGCTCACTAAATTGGTCTTATGAGACTTAAAGGCCGTCCTGTATCGCTCGGATATTTCCTGAATTATCGCTCAGCTATTTGCTTAATTATCGTTCGGCTATTTGCTTAATTATCGCTCGGCTATTTCCTTAATTATCGTTCGGCTATTTGCTGAATTATCGATCGATTGTTTTCTTAATTATCGCTCGGCTATTTCCTTATTTACTAATTACCACTACCAGCTACATGTAGCATCGGTTCCTGAACACCAATATTTGAATTCCTTGAAAACAATCGGCTTCCTACTGCCCCTCACACAGCACTACTGTCGTTAGATTGTTGCTCCGGCACAGCTTGAACACTTTATTGCACTTTGAAATGTGTAATAAAGATACAAATTGAACACTTTACATGACATATCGGCCACTTTGCACAAGTGTCACGGGTTCTATCCCATAATAAACGGACAGTATAAATCCATCACCGCCTATGCCTAGCAGTGATGTTAATAAAAACTATTAAAATCATATAGTGTACGCTATTACTTTTAAAACAGTATCAATCGGTGAAAAAAATAGTGGGCAAGTTTTGTGGCAAATTTGGTACTTTTTTAGTACCAAATTGCCGATCTGAATCGGCAATTCAAAATTGGCAACCCTAGACTGCTGGGGTAGAAGAAATGGCTGACCTTGTACGTCCGACCTCGGCAACCACAGTGTTGAAGGGCACCATGGGACCTGAGGTGACCTTAGGTGACCTCATGGGACCTAAGGCGACCTGTGCAAGGATATATTGCAACCTGCAGTGAAGTGTGAAGTCTCTGAATATCCCAGATGTCAAACTTCTTCTCGATTATACGTGGTTTGCTTGGAGGGTTTTCTCCTCCCGATGACTGCAGTTTTTGCAGTGAGAACTCTTGGATAAATGGCAGTGCTTGTGAATGTGGAGACAGCGTGTCTGCCCAAAGAGGCTCACAGGTGTTTTAAGATAAACTGAGGTAGTGTAGTAGTTACAGATATTAGTGTTTCGGTGAGAAGTTAACTCACAAAGTGCAAATTGCTTTAATTGTTATTAATAAGAAAAAGTAACAGTGGTGGTTAACTGTATTATAACTCATTGGTTCGTGAGAAACTAATGTGAAACAGTTATGAAAAGATAATTTATAAGTATTCAGGGCAACGGAAATATCAGGCCTTTCTGCAATAACTTCTGCTGTAACTGTGAGAGAACAAGCTTAGAGGACCCCAGGTAGAAGTTGCAAGGAGATCCATGCCCAGCCAGAGGTCGGGATACATTAAATTGGTAAGTTACCTTGCCTTTTATCCTATAAGAGTTAGATAGCCTATGCACAGTTCCAGAATATTTTCTGGGAATCTACTATAGTCGGATATTTAGGGAACGAAAACTTGCCTGTGGATTCTTTACGTTACTCTTGATAATTATACACGGGTAGTCGCTATTGTTTGCTGGTTTTATTGTGGCCCGTCCTCACAGCAAATCCATTTATTACCATGAGAAGCCACACCCAGTCTCAAACCTCCTGGATAGTTATCTAGGTATTTGTGAGGGTCTGAATGTATATTACAATTCCAGTAATAGTCTACATGTCAACGGGCAAATGAACCTTTGTTATAACTTTAATGTAATCACTCGGTACCCCTACTCAAATCTCTGAATATGTTAGATATTAAGTCTCTGCACATTCTCTCATGTGTATTATACATATATAAAACGCTAAACTATAATGCCAATCCTGATCTTAAAAGCTTCATAGAAGGTTGTAACAGAACCCATGAGCACCACACCAGAAATAAATACAGTTTTGATATTCCTAGAGTACGTCTTAATCAAACTAGAAATGCTCTGCAAATCAAGGGGCCCAGAATGTGGAATGACCTTCCCAACCATGTTAAAGACTGTACCTCTCTCACCCAGTTTAAGATAAAAACTAAACACTACCTAATAAATTCCCTGTAATCTACCTCACTCCTCTATTGTCAACCCATGTCTGTTATTTTCTTTTTTTTTTTAATCAACACTGTTTGTCAACCTATTGTATTTGTGCTGCTTTTTCAGTCATGTTCCCCCTTTTTTTATCTTTATTTGTATTTGTTCTCAACACTTTTTATTCTTTATGCTCAATTAGTATTAAGTTCTAGATATTAATGTTTTTCTTGCCCGAAACGCATTGCGTAATAGTGGCTTTAGGCATTGTATGTACTAGCTCTATCTATATATCAATCCATTAATGTAACATCACTTGTATGTATATACCTTACCTGAATAAACATCTGAATCTGAATCTAATATAAATCGTTGGTTTAAAATATAAAAAGTGTATGCTGAAAATGTTCTCTTTGGAGAATTTGGTTTTCTGTAAACAAAATTCGCGGGTACACTGAGACAGTTTTCGAATTTCATATTTTTTTATTTTTTAAATATACAAGAGTTCTTACATTCTTGTAAAGCCATTAGCAATTTCTGGCAATTATATGGATAATTAAGTAGAACAATATTAAAAGTCTAAAATATAACGTGTATAAATCACATAAATGTGAATTAACATAAACAATCTGTAGAAAGAATACAAAGTAATAATACATACAATACAATTTTATTTAGGTAAGGTACATACATAC